GGATGTAAGTACATTTGAATTATGGGATCCAAGATCTAAGAAAGCATACATCAAATTGTGACACTGAAAAGTTAGGAAATCTAATTAAAATGCTTGGTAAAGAGATATTATAAATGACAGAGAAGAGAAAGGGCTTAAAACTTTATATTGGAACAAAATTTTAAAAGGGCTTAGTCAAGTTACCATTAAATTGGAAACATTAATATGAACTCATGACTTTCGGTTTAACATTTTTATTAAAATTTCACACATAACCAAAAGTTGAAAGTGCATTATAATGAACTTCTATGAACTCATAATCCACCTTTAACAATTACCAGCTTTTCACAGATCTTACTTCATCTACGGACCTCTATATTTTTTAAAGTGTATATATATATTTTTGCTAGTGTATTCTGTAGGAAGCTCCAGATAGCATTTAACTCATAAATGTCCAGCAGATAACTTTTTAAATATAAGCACCATACCATTATCACATCTAACAAAAGTAATAATTCCTTAGTATTGGTTAATAGCAGTCCATGTAGAATTTTTCCAAATTATTTCAAAATATCTTAATAGTTGGTTTGATCAAGTGAAGATCCAAACAATGCCCATGCATTTTATCTGATTGATGTGTCTCTTAAGTGTCTTTTATTCTTTATCATTTCCCTCTCCTTGTTCTGTTTCCTGCCCCCCGCCCCATGGCATTTATTCGTTGAAGAAACTCTTTTCTCTGGTAGAATTTCCCATCCTCTTGGTGGTATAAACCATGTGTCTCTATTTTCTGGTAGTGAAATCTGGAGAATTGATTATGTTCAGGTTCAACTTTTTTTTCCCCTTAAAAATCTCCTATCGCATCACATGAGGAGGCTCATGATATATGGTTGTCTCTCTTTTAGCAATGTTAAGATCGACCAGTGGGATCATTAACAGCCTGGTTCATCTATTAGAAAGTTTCCACTTTTTCTTTTCACCAAGATGGCACTGAAAGTGAAGAAGGAAGCTTCTGCCCCTCCTAAAGCCAAAGTCAAAGCAAAGGCTTTGAAGGCAAAGAAAGCAGTGCTGAAAGGCATTCATAGCCAGAAGAAGGAGGAAGGGAAGAGGGAGGAGGAGGAGAACAACAATAAGAACCACCACTTTTCACCCACCTTCCTACAGCCCAAGGCACTGAGGCACCAAAGGCAGCCCAAATATGCTGGGAAGTGCACCCCCAGGAGAAACAAGCTTCATGCTTTGCCATCATCGAGCGTCCCTTGACTACCAACCAAGTCAGTCATGAAGAAGACAGAAGGCAACAATCCCTCTGTGTTCACTGTGGATGTCAAGGCCAAGTAGCACCACATCAGACAGGCTGTGAAGAAGCTCTGTGACATTGACGTGGCCAAGATCAACACCCTGATCAGGCCTGGTAGAAAAAGGAAATTATGTGTTTCACTGGCTCCTAACTATGATGCTTTGGATATTGCCTGCAAAATTGAGGTCACCTAAATTGAGTCCAGCTGGCTAATTCTAAATGTAAAAATTTTTTCACTGTAAAAAAAATAATAATAAAGTGCCCTGATCAGTGTGGCTCAGTTGGTTGGGCATCATCCCACAAAGCAAAAGGTCACTGGCTCGATTCCTGGTCAGGACACATGCCTGTGTTGCAGGGCGTGTTGAAGAGGCAACCGATTGATGTTTCTCTCCCCCCATCGATGTTTCTCTTCCTCTCTTTCTCCCTCCCTTCCCCCTTTTCTAAAAATAAATAAATAAGATTTTAAAAATAAATAAATAAAATAAAGTTCCCTTCCAACTTTTCTAGTTTTAGCAGCTATTGATCATCATCGCCTAGATTCATTGGTTCATGAGGGGCTGCAAAATAGTAATATACTAACTTTATCATTTCTTCAGCAATTATTAGTTGAAATAAAGAACTTTCCATCATTATTTTTAATTTTTATTTCAATCCTTTAGTATTATTCTTTTGAATGCTTAAATTGTTTTATCTTTGGTATATGAGAGCCCCTTCAAGGTGGGTCCTCTGACTTTTTATACCACTCACTGGCCTCTGACAGCTTTCTTGCTTTCTACACAAGATATCTCTGTTTGATTTATACATTTCCTCCCCAAGCCCTTTCTCCAAGACCTAGCATGCCAAATGCCTTCATAAGACACATATGATCCAGAGGGCAGGAGATAAGGCCTGGCATATCAGTAAAATTTTTATAAAACCAACATTCAGGAAATTGCCAGGACATATTATCTGAAATAAAAGACAAATTACTTAATCTTGCACTTCCTTTCATAAAGAAGGAAGCACAAAAAAAAAAAAAAACAGTGAGCTTTTGGGTGAATATTCCCTTTTGGGAATATTTGCTTCTTCAGGGAATATTTCACCTTGAGGACTACTGCTCTGGCCGCCAGAGTTCAAAAGAGTTCTGAAGTGACCCAGAAGACCCCAAAAGGGAATATTCACCCAAAATTGGTGAAAGGGCATGGTGTCGGGGGTGACAGTAGTGGGAAAAAAACATTACATAGTATTTGAGGAAGATCCAGTGGAAGCATTACAATAAAAGACCCTACGGTTCAGGGACAAGGCCATGCCATCTGCAGCAGAGAATTGTACTCTATGTGAGAAACAAAATCAGAGGCAATAGTGAGTGTCTGACCATCTCTTTTTTTCCCCCGGAATAAAAAATATTAAAAGACTAAGACCAAGAAGGTCTGAGATAAAAATGTCAATTTGCATATAGGAGTGGGGTTGAAGTGTAAAAATCTTTGTATCGTATGTGAGCATCCACCAGAGAAAAGGCAGTAAATAAACAATGAAATGACTCAGCCAATTGATATCAGCCAGTTTTAGGCATCAGCCATCCCAATGCTAACACAAAGGGCACAAGAATGAAGTAGCCATAGACTTCTGGTCAAGATGGAGGCATAGGTAGACACACTTTGCCTCCTCACAGAACCAAAAGAAGGACAGCAACAAATTTTGAAACAAAAAATAACCAGAACTTCCAGAAAATTGAACAGTATGGAAGTCCAACAACCAAGGAGTTAAAGAAGAAACATTCATCCAGACTGGTAGGAGGGACAGAGATGGGCAGCTGAGGTGGAGAGGACATGCAGCAAGGTGATGGATGGTGGCAAATGTGGTAGTCCCACATTTGCATGCAGATACATGTGAGGAACAGCTGGGGAGTGAGACAAACCATGCAACCCAGGGTTCCAGTGCAGGAAAAAAGCCTCAAAACCCCTGGAGGTAAAAACCTGTGGGGGTTGAAGTGGCAGGAGAAACTCCCAGCCTCACAGGAAAGTCCATTAGAGACCCACAAGGTCCTAGAATGTACACAAACCCACCAGGAATCTGCACCAGAAGGGCCAAATTTGCTTGTGGGTAGCAGGGGAAGTGACTGGAAGCCAGCTGAGAGCTGAGCAAGTGGGATTGTTCTCTCTCGGACCCCTCCCCTGCACATAGTGTCACAATGGAGCTACCTGGGTTGCCCCACCCTGGCGAATATCTAAGATTCTGCCCCTTCCAATGTAACAGGTGCACTGAGACAAAGAAATATGGCCCAAATGAAAGAACAGATCACAGCTCCAAAAGTAGAACTAAGCGATGAAGAGATAGCCAACCTATCAGATGCACAGTTCAAAACACGGGTAATATGGATGCTCACTGAATTGGTTGAGTGTGGTCACAAAATGGAGGAAAGAGTGAAGGCTATGCAAAGTGAAATAAAGAAAAATATACAGGGAACCAACAGTGAAGGGAAGGAAACCAGGACTCAAATCAACGATTGGGAGCAGAAAGAGAGATAAACATTCACCCAGAACAGAATGAAGAAACAAGAATTCAAAAAAATGAGGAGAAGCTTAGGAACCTCCAAGACAACTTTAAATGTTCCAGCATCCGAATCATAGGGTGCCAGAAGGAGAAGAGGAAGAGCAAGAAATTGAAAAGTTATTTGAACAAATAATGAGGGAGAACTTCCCCATTCTGGCCAAGGAAAGAGACTTCCAAGAGATCCAGGAAGCTCAGAGAGTCCCAAAGAAGTTGGACCCAAGGAAGCACGCACCAAGGCACATCATAATTACATTTCCCAAGATTAAAGATAAGGAGAGGCTCTTTAGAGCAGCAAGAGAAAAGCACACAATTACCTACAAGGAGTTCCCATAAGACTATCAGTTGATTTCCCAAAAGAAACTTTGCAGGCAAGAAGGGGCTGGCAAAAAGTATTCAAAGTCATGAAAGCTAAGGACCTACACCCAAGATTACTCTATCCAGCAAAGCTATCACTTAGAATGGAAGGGCAGGTAAAGGGCTTCCCAGATAAGGTCAAGTTAAAGGAGTTCATCATCGCCAAGCCATTACTATATGAAATATAAAAGGGACTTATCTAAGAAAAAAGAAGATCAAAAACTATGAACGGTAAAATGACAACAAACTCACAACTATCAACAACTGACCCTAAAAAACAAAAACAAAAACAAACTAAGCAAACAACTAGGACAGGAACAGAATCACAGAAATGGAGACCACATGGAGGGTTATCAGTGGGGAGGGGGTGGGGGGAGAATGGGGGAAAAGGCACAAGGAATAAGTTGCATAAATAGTAGGTACAAAATAGACAGGGGGAGGTTAAGAATAGTATAGGAAATGGAGAAGCCAAAGAACTTATATGTATGACCCATGGACATGAAATGAGGGGGGGAATGCTGGGGGGAGAGGTAGTGCAGGGTGGAGGGGAATAAAGAGGAGAAAAGAACGGGACAACTGTAATAGCATAATCAATAAAAAGAAAAATTAAATAAATAAAAAAAAAGAAAACAGAATGGAGGTTTTTACTCAGTAACAAGAGGAGAAAATTATTTTCCTCTGGAGAAAACGCAGCCCTTGTTGGTTGCCTCCCCTGGCTATTCACTGGGAAGGACTTTTATTTTGTTTTGCTTTGTTTCTGTTACGGTAAAGTCTTTGGATTGTAGCCAAATTCTCTACAAGTTCAAAAGTCTAAAGCTCTTGAGGAAACTTGCTCTTTTTAAATATTTTTTCAGAGGTTAAATATTAAGTTTGAAAAAACTATCTGAGGCAGAGAAGTGCCCACAGTAGAGACACCGACACTGAATGTCTCCAACATGAAGCTCACTCAAGTTATTCTGTTATTTTTGTGCTTCTATTTAAGTTTTTGCAAGGTAAGTGACTCACTCATGCAAACTACTTTAAGAAAATATTTTAAATATTATAAAAACATTAAAGTCTTGGACACTATTTTGATTTAAAGATTACATAGTTCAGTTACCAACAACAGCAGTATATTAATAACAAAGATTCTTGTTATTATCTTGGTGAAAGAGTTTTAAGAAATTGCTTTTCTGTATGCTTTTGTTTGTGCCTAGAATTTAAACTGAATAAGAATTTTGGTAGTACAGATCTGTAATTTATAGTAATCATGTTAAATAAATAAATATTTACCAAGCTCTTTCCACGTGCAAACTATATTGCTGAGCAAATGACAAAACTAATCTCTTCTTTGAGTAGTTTTTCCATACAGCTGTAGCAAGATAATATAAATATGCCAATGAGGAAATAGCAAGCAAGATTTAAATAACATTTGAAAACACAAGAGAAGAAACTGTTACAAGACAATATATATTTAAATGCCAAAAAATGGTGCAAATATCATGTGCCAAGGGACTTTAATGGAAAGAAAGATTCCTTCCTGCTAGAAGAGCAGGAAGAGTTTCTGGACCAAGTGGAATTTGAGCTAGACCTATAACTCTGGATTAGATTTCACCAGTGGAGAGAAAGAGAAAGTGATTTTCAGCCTTTCCACCTGGAGAAGGAACAAGAGCTATGGCAGAAGGATAGCAAAGGCAGCTCCAGATAAATAAAATCTTTGATCAGAGTGGAGACTTTGCAGGCAATTCAGGGAGTTAAACTGAAATGACAGATTGTAGCCAAGTTGGAAGGTCATCTATAAAGGTTAGAAATGTTTAAGACATTTCAGATATTTACTGAGGATTGCCTACTTTTGTGATCAAAACATTTTGAAACAGGACTTCAAAAACTGTTTTTGTTTTAATGCAGTTTAAAGCAGAGAAATTTAAGTAAAACTATGTAAGAATCAGAATTACATACTTTAAGTTTCCTATAACGTCTAAAATATATATGCAATATTTATAACAGAGAACAAATGGGAATAAACTGAGTACTCATTGATGAGTCTGATTAAATTATAGTACATCCATGAATGAGCTATCATGTACCCATTAAAGGTACATGATATTTACTTAAAGGAAGACCTTACTAAATCTTGATTTTGTTCAATAAAAAATATACATACACATGTATGTATCAGCGTACACACACCTACATGTACACACACAAATGCACACATGCAGCTGCTTATATAAATGGCAACTTAGAAGTTCTCAGGGGTGCATATCAAACAGGTGACCATTGGTATCTCAGAGTGATGGGATTACTGGCGACTTTTATTTTCTGTTTTATACATTTATGAATTTTCAGAATTCAGAACTTCTCTGTTTAGTTCATTCTTTATTTTTCTTTTTTAAATACCAAATAAATGGGTGTTGATTTATGATTAAAAAAATGTTTTTTGAAAAAAAAGACATTTTAGCCACATTTTCAGTTCCTGGAACAAAAGTAGAATTTAAAAAAAAAAACTGAAAATAATAGTTTTCACCTACAAAAAGAAGAAATGCACCACAAAAGGGAGTGCTTCAGGCTGAACAAAAGGACACTATACAGTAACTTGAAGCCATATGAAGAAATAAAAACCCCTGTAAAGGTAAAGTTTTTGTGTTTATGTAGGTAAATGTATTTTATTTTTAGTCTGTATCTCTTCTTTTTATTTCTTGAATGATTTAAAAGACAATATGCATAAAATAATCATCAGTCAATGTTAATAATCACACAATGTATGACTAAAGATGTAATGTGTGATAATAATAACAGAAAAGAGGGTATGGAATTAAAAAGGAACAGAGTTTTTATATGCTCTTGAAGCTAGACTGGTATTAATGCAAACAAAATTGCTATAAATTTAAGATTTTAAGCATAATCCCCATGATAACATCAAAGAAAATATCTTTAAAATATATTTTAAAAAAGGAAATGAGAAGAGAATAAAGGCAGTTCACACACACACACACACACACAAAATCAACACAAAATAAGGCAGTAATGGAAGAAATAAAGAACAAAAAGGTACAGGACATAGAGAAAAAAATAACAAAAGGCAGAAGTTAATTAATTTAACTTCTTCATCAGCAATTAGTTTAAATGCAAGTGTATTAAATTCTCCAAATAATAGGCAAAGATTGGTAGGATTTATTTTTTAAAAACCACAATCCAACTGTATGCAGTCTACAAGACACCCACTTTAGAACCAAAGACATAAATAGTTTGAAAGTAAAAGAGAGGAAAATGGTATTCCATGCAAACAATAACCTAAAAAGAGCTGGAGTGTCCACATTAATATAAGACAAAATTGACTTTGTATCTTGTTACAAGAGACAAAATAGGGTATTAGATATGACAAAAGAGTCAGTTTATTAAAGTATATAATAATTATAAACATATACACACCAACAAATAGAGCCCAAAATATATGATTCAAACATTGATGTAATTGAAGGGAGGAAGAAATGATTCTACAATAACAGTTGGAGACCTCAATATCTCATTTTCCATAACAGATAGAAAATCTAGACAGAAAATCAATAAGAAAATAGGGGACTTTAAGAGCACTATAAGCTAAACTTACCTAACAACTAGACGTATATAGAGCACTCCACCCAACAACAGAAGAATACACACTTTTCTCAAGTTTACATGAAACATTTTCCAGAATACACCTTATGTTAAGACATAACACATGTCTCAATTAATTTAAAAATATTGAAATCATATGAAGTCGTTTCTCTAACGACAATGAAATAAAGCTAGAAATCAGTAATAGGATAACTAAAAAGTTCACATATGTGTGGAAGTTAAACAACATATTCTTAAAGAACCAATGACCAGGGAAATTAAGAAATCTTAGAGATGAATGAAAACAAAAATATAGAATAGCAATACATATGGGATGTGGCAATTCATAGCAATAAATGCCTGCAAGAAAAACAAAACAAGATCTCAAATCAATAATTTACCTTTATACCTTAAAGAACTAGAAAGAGAAGAGCAAACTAAATCCAAAGCTAAGAGAATAATATCTTTAAAATAAAGTTTGTTATTCTTTTTAAAAATGTATTTAATAATTGTTAAACTGTAGTATTATTTTTTGTTATTGCAACAGGCTTATACAGGTATAATATTTTTCCTTTTTCATTAAGTATATTAATATAATTAAAAATATTTTATTTACCTATTACTTTTATATTTATTTGTACTGTACTATGTATTTTACTTTTTATATTTTTATTTGTTATAGGCATGATTTCATACACACACACACACACACACACACACAGTGGTTCCCCCTTATCCATGGGGACTATGTTCTAAGAACCCCAGTGGATGCATGAAACTGCAGATGGTACTGAACCCTATATGTACTATGTTTTTTTCCTATACATGTATTGCTATGATAGAGTTTATTTTAATTCATAAATTAAGCACACTAAAAGGTTAACAATAATGAATAATAAAATAAAACAATTAAAATATGTTGTAACCAAAGTTATGTGAATGGCTTTGGCCATTATTAAGTTATTTGAGCAATATTAACATTATTAAGTTACTTAAACACTGCAGTACCATTGACAGTCCATCTGATAACCCAGTGACTAATGGGTGGGTAGCAGAGACAGTGTGGATTCGCTGGACAAAGGTTGATCCACATGCCGAACAGAACTGAATAAGACAGCACAAGATTTCATCATGCTACGCAGAATGGCATGCTATTTAAAACTAATGAATTGTATTCCTGCCTGGTGTGGCTCAGTGGATTGACTGCCAGCCTGCAAACTGAAAGGTCTGGTTTGATCCCTGGTCAGGGCACATGACTGGATTGTGGGCCAGGTCCCCAGTTGGGGTTCAGGAGAGGCAATCGGTAGATGTTTCTCTTATACATTAATGTTTTTCCCCTGCCCCCACTTTCTCTCTATAAATAAATGAAATCTTTAAAAAAATAAAATAAAACTAATGAATTGTGTATTTCTGGAATTTTCCATGTAATATTTTGGGACCTCAGTTGACCACAAATAACAGTAACCACAGAAAGCTAATCTGCAGATATAAGGGGGACTGCTGTATGTGAATTCAAATTAAAAAATGTATTTGCTGTTTACATTTTCTGCATAGTTTATTATTCATCTTTTCAAGACTTTTATTGAAAATACTCTTGTTGTGTAAGGGAGTGTTTAAAAAGTATCTGCTCTGTATGACAAATATACTAGACTTGCCATTTGTAAAAAGACAACATCTTGCAACACATATTCCATAAAAAGTCTGTTTTCTTAAACATATGGAGTTCCTACAAAAAAAAGAAAGAAAGAAAGAAAGAAAAAATCCGGTATACATCAGCAAGAGATATGGTTAAAAGGTGGAGAAACACATAAAAACCTCTCTTAAGTTTAAGTATTTTAAAAGATGCCCAACTTCATTTATTGGGGGAAAATACAAATAAAACTATGCTCTCATAACACTTTCATATATCAAATTTGAAAAAAAAAAGTTTATTGAGGTATATGGTCTCTGATCAAAAGTATGTCATATATTGATGATCGGAATGCAAAGGAAGACAGCCTTGATAGAGAGAAATTAGGCAATGCCTTTCAAAATTAAAACTACTGCTCTAGCTGGTGGTCTCAGTGGGTTGGGCATCATCTCACAAACAGAAAGGCTGCCAGTTCAATTCCGATCAGGGCACATGCCTGGGTTATAGGCTGGGTTGTGGGCCAGGTCCCCAGTTGGTGGAGTGCGAGAAGCAAATGATTGATGTGATCAATGTTTCTCTCTCACACCACTGTTTCCTTCCCTCTTATACTCCGTCCTTTCCTTTCTCTAAAAATAAATAAACAAAATCTTAAAAAAAAAATTTAAAAGGATACTCATTCCTTTGATTTGGCAATTTCACTCTCTGGTAAGTATTGGGAAATAATGTGTGTTCTATAAAAAGGTTGATTACAACATTGTTTATAATAATAAAACCTTGGAAACATTGGAAATCATCTAAATGCCCTTTGGGGGACTAGTTATAGGGCCACTGGCTGCAAATTGAACTGGCGTTGAGGGCCGAGTTAGGGAGTAAAATGAGGATTCACACATAGAATGATGATGTCTGGAAGGACTTACAAAGAACTATTAAGTGGTTGACTCTGAGGTGAGGGATGAGTGGTTTGAATGGATAAGGGGATGAAGGAAATAGAATTTTTACAGGCGCCCTTATAAACACATTTGCTACATTTCTATATGTTTCTTATCTTTTAAAAAGCAATTAAAAATGAAAATAACAACAAAATTTCAGTCATTTTATACCCATTTACATGTATATATTTTTTAAAAAGACCAGTGAGTCTTTTCATCTCTAAGGCAAAAATATTGGAATTGACCCCAAAACAATTTTTCCAATTTTTAAAGAGAACAGGATATAAGAATCCACCCTACCTGTTCACATCATACAATCATTTCCCCACCATTTCCAATAATAACATACTGGGATTTGGAAAAGTGAATTTTTTTAAAAGTGTATTTTATTGATTATGCTATTACAGTTGTCCCGTTCTTTTCTCCTCTTTATTCCCCTCCACCCTGCACTACCTCTCCCCCCAGCATTCCCCCCTCATTTCATGTCCATGGGTCATACATATAAATTCTTTGGCTTCTCCATTTCCTGTACTGTTCTTAACCTCCCCCTGTCTATTTTGTACCTACTATTTATGCAACTTATTCCTTGTGCCTTTTCCCCCATTCTCCCCCCACCCCCTCCCCACTGATAACCCTCCATGTGGTCTCCATTTCTGTGATTCTGTTCCTGCCCTAGTTGTTTGCTTAGTTTGTTTTTGTTTTTGTTTTTTAGGGTCAGTTGTTGATAGTTGTGAGTTTGTTGTCATTTTACCATTCATAGTTTTTGATCTTCTTTTTTCTTAGATAAGTCCCTTTTATATTTCATATAGTAATAGCTTGGCGATGATGAACTCCTTTAACTTGACCTTATCTGGGAAGCCCTTTACCTGCCCTTCCATTCTAAGTGATAGCTTTGCTGGATAGAGTAATCTTGGGTGTAGGTCCTTAGCTTTCATGACTTTGAATACTTTTTGCCAGCCCCTTCTTGCCTGCAAAGTTTCTTTTGGGAAATCAACTGATAGTCTTATGGGAACTCCTTGTAGGTAATTGTGTGCTTTTCTCTTGCTGCTCTAAAGAGCTTCTCCTTATCTTTAATTTTGGGTAATGTAATTATGATGTGCCTTGGTTCGTGCTTCCTTGGGTCCAACTTCTTTGGGACTCTGAGCTTCCTGGATCTCTTGGAAGTCTCTTTCCTTGGCCAGAATGGGGAAGTTCTCCCTCATTATTTGTTCAAATAACTTTTCAATTTCTTGCTCTTCCTCTTCTCCTTCTGGCACCCTATGATTCGGATGCTGGAACATTTAAAGTTGTCTTGGAGGTTCCTAAGCTTCTCCTCATTTTTTTGAATTCTTGTTTCTTCATTCTGTTCTGGGTGAATGTTTATCTCTCTTTCTGCTCCCAATCGTTGATTTGAGTCCCAATTTCCTTTCCTTTACTCTTTGTTCCCTGTGTATTTTTCTTTATTTCACTTTGCATAGCCTTCACTCTTTCCTCCATTTTGTGACCACACTCAACCAATTCAGTGAGCATCCATATTACCCGTGTTTTGAACTGTGCATCTGATAGGTTGGCTATCTCTTCATCGCTTAGTTCTACTTCTGGAGCTGTGATCTGTTCTTTCATTTGGACCATATTTCTTTGTCTCAGTGCACCTGTTACATTGTAAGGGGCAGAGTCTTAGGTATTCGCCAGGGTGGGGCAACTGACTTTGCTCTACTGTGGCACTGTATGGTGGGGAAAGGTCTGAGAAGAAGCAGTGCCACTTGCTCAGCCCTGCTTTCATTCACTTCCCCTGCTGCCCACAAGCAAATTTGGCCCTTCCGATGCTGATTCTTGGGTGGGTTGGTTTGAATTTGTTCTACAACTTTGTGGATCTTTCCAATGAACTTTCCTTTGAGGCTGGGAGTTTCTCCTGCCGCCGCATCCCCCACAGGGTTTTTACAGCCAGGGCCTTTGAGGCTTTATTTCCCTATGCTGGAACCCGGGGTTGCGTAGTCTGTCTCATGCTCCAACTGTTCCTCCGGTTTATCTGCATGCATATATGGGGCTACCCAGTCTGCAAGTTGTTACCTTGCCTGCCTGGTCCATTGCCTTACTGTGTGTCCTCTTTGCTCAGGCTGCCCAATTTCAGCCCTCCTACCAGTCTGGATGAATGTTTCTTCTTTAACTCCTTGGTTGTCGGACTCTCACACAGTTCAATTTTCTGGCAGTCCTGGTTGTTTTCTGTTTTTAAGTTAGTTGTTTCCTTCTTTTGTTTGTGCAAGGAAGCAACGTGTATCTACCTATGCTTCCATCTTGGCTGGAAGTCCAAAAGTGAGATTTTTTTTTTAAAGACTTTATTTATTTATTTTTAGAGAGAAGAGAAGAGAGGGAGAAAGAGAGGGAGAGAAACATTAACATGTGGTTGCCTTTCATGTGCCCTCTACTGGAAACCTGGCCCACAACCCAGGCACGGGTCCTAACTGGAAATTGAACTGGTGACCCTTTGGTTCACAGGCTGGCACTCAATCCACTGAGCCACACCAGCCAGAGCCAAAAGTGAGATTTTTTTTTTAATAAAAATAAACTACCAACAACAAAAATAACAAAAGGCATTACCAAATTTTTTATGTGAATTGGAACAGTTCATCATTAGGTATTAGTAGAGAAACATTCTCTATTACTTTTATCTGAATAAAATAACATCTGGTTAAGGAGCTGGTTTGGGTGCTGTCAGGGACATGGTTTTATATCAAAACAGGTATGGTACAAGATGGGCAGATCAAAGGAGAGGGAAAATTAAAATAAAATAAGTGCTAGGGAACACCATGAGATGAGAAGGAACTGAGGCCACAAGGGGCTTAAAACTCTTTCAATGGAAGGGCTTCTGATGTGGTTAACTTTCAGAATATGAGTTTTTGTTTCAGGAAGAAAGAAAAAAAATTTATTGTTTACTCTTTTTTAACCTTTTCTATTTTTTTCTTAAAGTTTTCCAGGGAAATCATGAGTATATCAGTTGGTTAATGCCATAATAATATATTCACCATAAAATCTCAGGGGCATACAACTTTATTTAGTACTATCCAAGTCTTCAGGTTGGCTAGGGATCAGCTGATCTAAGCTGGGTTCTGCTGGAATGGTTCTTTGCTAGCATGGCCATGTTCTTCTCAGATGTATGGCAGAAAAGCAAAAGGACAAACCCAGTTACAAAAGTACTTTTCAAGCATTTCTGCGTCACATCTTCTGATATCCTATTGACCAAAGCAAGTCACATGGCCAGGTTCAGAGTCTAGAGGTAGGAAAATGCACCCTGCCCTCAGTGAGACGCACAGTTCAGGACTGGAGTGAGGAGAGGGTAGAAGAATTGGAGCCATATGCAATCTCCCACAGTCATCATCATATTCTCATTTGTATAGGCCCTTAAACATGTATTTGTGCTTTCCCATGTATTTTTCATTTGATTCTCATGTGATTCTCACAACAACTCTGTGAGGACATTGTTTTTATTTTCCACACTTTAGAGAAGAAGAAACGGAATCAGAGAGGTAAAAGTCACTTATGGTTATTTAGCAGTAGAAGAGGACTTTGTACATTTTTACAAAAAGCAGGAGAATGGGAAAGTGGTGGGCTTTTTGTCACATTGGTCATAGTTGAGCTTTTTTTTTCTTTTGTTTATAGGTTAAAGACCAAAAACAAAAAAACCAGGAGGAGATGGAGAAAGTAAAGGTAAAGCATGCTGGGGTTGAATAGGAAATTGTTTCTTATTCACTTTCAAATGACCAACCATTTATCTAAAAAGGGTTCACTGTAGTCCTGCCTAGAATAAAAAGATAAAGTTCACATCAAAATAATTGCTACATCATTACAAATACCAAGGAAAGGACCAAAAAAACAAAAATCCATGTACACAAAAAAGCAGCATCAGAAGTTAAATCATGTTTTATAGATGACTAGGCTATGGTAGTAATTGCTAAAAATTACCGAACATGTGGTCCCAGTATATATGAACATATTTACTTTTAAGTAATAAATAACACTGCAGTACAAATAAAGGCATCTTAAAAACAAACAAAATTTTAAATACATAAATAATATTTTAATAACTTTTCACCATTAATCTTTAATAGAACAATGTCACTAAAATCACTTCTTTAGTTTTGAAATTTTTCATTTGATTTAAATGGCATATTAGCTGGGAAAGATAGCTCACAAAGAGCAACATATACCAACACACAGGGAGAAGTTCATCATTAACAATATTAGATGTAAATCTATATTTCAAATAGTCTGATTAAGGCACAGGCCTGGCTTTTTGCCATATCTCATCAGCTTTTCATTGTTTTTAACCCCATGATGTGGCTGATGAACAGCTTCTACTAGGGTTAGAAGTATAGACTCTGTCATTTTCTTATTCACTGGTATTACATTTTGGCATTATTTTTAATCCAGCATCCATTTCACTATAAGAATGTCTAACCTGCATGTCCATTTGTGAAAATTATATCAATGATTATATTAGCTAAAACCAGATTATATAATCTTATATAATCCATAATGTTCCTTTCTCAAGCACATATATATGATCCTCTGTCTTAAAATAAAAACACACCCTTACCCCATCCCCCCTCCAATTATCACCCTATTTCTCCGTGCCCCCTTACGTCTAAACTCTCCAAAATATCCTGTGCTCAATTTCTCTTTTTTCATTCTTTCCTGAACACAGTCAGGTCTGAGTTTGCACCATTCTACCCAGATTATATTTGTCAAGGTCGCCACCTTACTGGAGATGCAAGAGAGACAGCTGCGGATCACTCCTTCCTTCTCTTTGTCTCTGTGCCATCATTTTCCATTTATTGGCTTGTCACTTCACTGGCCGCATCTTCTCATCTCCTTTACTAAATCTTCAATATCTGCCCAACCCCTAAGTGTTGGAGGGCTCACACCCTCCAAAGGATTTATATTTCATTCACAAAACAAGCCAACATTTTTACAGTAGCCTACAAAATTCTACATGATCGGTTGCCTGCCCCTCCAATACTCTGACCTCTATCTTCCTGTTCTCCCACCAGCCACTTCCTTCCCTCTGGCCACACTGGTCCCCAACACCAAGAGCATACCACACAGCACATATGCTTCTACCCTACCACTTTTCCATAGTTGTTTCCTCTGACCATGACAGTTCACCTCTAGATATCTGCATGGCTTGCTCACTCACCTTCAGGTTTCTGCTCTCAGGTAAACTTCTCCCCAAAGCCTTCCCTGATAACCCTATACAAAAGAACGATCTTCCTGTCTCTCTCCACCATCTCTCTCTCTCTCACCCTGCAAAGCATTTGTCACCATATGTCATCCTACGTATTTATTCTTTATTCTTCCTTGCCTGCTTCTCCTACTAGAAATGGAAGCTCTTCAACTTTGTGCTGTTCACAGTTGCAGCCCCAGGAGCTAGAGCAGTGCCTTGCATGTGGTAGGCTCTCAGTAAATATTGAATGACTATGTTATGAATGTAGCTACCAGTGCCAATCCATTTTTAAATATTAGTAAAGATTATTTTCTTCCTACTTTTTCAATAAAATGTAAATTAATATAATTTCTGTTATTTTACCCACTGGGTTATCTTTATACTCCCAAGGTATATATAATCCACTTTGAAAATTATTGGTCAACACCGATGGTTGTAAATCTTTCGGGAGCATAAGAGTCCTTATGGAGTTTGTTTAAAGTACAGATCCAAAGCCTCTCCCAGAAAGTCTGATTCAGAGATCTATTGTTTGGGTCCAAGAATCTGCATTTGTAAGATTATATACCACATTATCATGCAGATGGTCTGGGGACACAGCTGGAAATACCTGACCCATGTATTTGGCAGTCTTTTTCAGTTTGTAACTACAAAACTCAAGAAAAATGGAAAAAAACTTTTACAGCATGCTTCAATCAACTCAAACACCACTCACATACAGACTGATTTAGGTTCCATTCTTCCTAGACAGGTAATTCTCAAGGTTTTGAATTACGGAGACTATATCTAGATATCTGGTGTCTTATCAGTCAGTATTGGCCAGGGTATGCAGCAGTAAAAACCGAATCCCCAAATCTCAGTAGCTTAACAATGAAAGTCGATTTTTGCTCAAGCAAAGTCTACTATAAGTCTCGGTGACTCTCCAGGGAAAGTGTTCCCCATGTGTGGGCCCAGCATTCTAGTCTGCTTTGATTCTACAGTGTCTCAGCAACACATGTCTCCGTTATCACTACAACAAGGCCCAAGAAAGTTGGGTCCTTGAGTACTGGGAATTAAATGCTTCTATCTGAAACTAATACATGTTACTTTAGCTTATATTTTATTGGCCAAAGCAAGTTGCCACCATGTCCAGCCTCATGAAGAAAATGCAATCTTCTCATTTGCCTGGAAGTAGAGGAAAATAAGATTTTAGTAAACAGTATTAATATTTACAAAAAACAGAAACATTAAAAAACACTTATATCTACCATCTCATCTTATATTATCAACTACACACATGACAGTAATTGTTATTTTATTGTCTGTTATTGTGGGAAGTAACACAGTTAAATCAGTGACAATTTAAATAAGTTTGTTTCTTATTAATCTTAATATCATCTACATACATTGGAAAGATAGGTATACATAACTGTACAAGGTATAGTTTATTTCTGTCTTCAGGTAGTGTACAAATACATTTGCAAATCTGTTTAATAATATCCTCAATTATCATCAGCCTGCTGTTCTAGATATTGAGGACCCATAGACACACGTGACTGACCCAGTCCCTTTAGAGGTGAAGCCTATTGTCATCACGTCTTACGCTGTATATGAACAATTCTTACCCTTACTGTCCCCAGCAATTGCCACACAATAATTTCTATTTCTCTTCTGATTATTGTCAACAACCACTGTGTTGGCATTAGTCATTACCATCAAACTAAAGTTTAAAATGATAATATTATCATAAAATTGATTCCAAACTATAGTAAGAAACTGTAGGAACAGTAAAGTGATTCATTTCTAAGGCAATCCTCTCCCTAAATGCTCTGACTGCATATTTTCATATCGCCTTCTCAACCTTATTTCAACAATTTTGCACACTCTTCTTAAAGCTTCAATCTTTCCCATTCTGTTAGATTCCCAACTTTAGGTTATAATCATGATGAAATCTCTTCTATCCTAACAACAAAAAGCCCTCTTTATTCTGTACACCACCCATCTTTTTCCTCCTTCAAATGATAACACTTACTCTTTTCTCTACTGGAAGCATAACATTCTTTTTCATTTAATTATTTTTATCGAATTCACTCATGTATATAGTTTACAAAAGCAAATAATACCATAAAGCTTAAAACTATGATGATGTTGAGAATGTTTAACAATTGGCTGGGCATACTGACCAATTAGATAAGATCACCAACCAATTAGCCCTGCTTATAGCATAAAACACCCCTATTCCACCCCTGCTCACTCCTGGTTCTCTCTGTCCAGTTACAATAACGTCCAAGTCTTTGCTGTTTCTTTTACTGTTTACATCAGATTCCCTAATAAAATGTTCATACAACCATTTCTTTTAACCAAACCCTTGGTTGTTTTAGCCACTCCATCTTCTTCAGAGGTACTAGCTACCCCAATCCCCAAGCTTTTCTGGGGTGAATTTGCTGTACTTTTTGGCCTTCCATTATTGTGCTTGGGTTTCAGTTCCCTCTGGGCTGCTAAATCCCCTACCATTAGCGCATTTGCTTTCTAGCCTCCAATATTTTGATAACATCTGAAGTCTGTAGACCCCTCTCCATTCTCTTTGGCTTTATTGGTTCTGGTTTTTTTTGGGGGGGGGGGGGGTGGAGGCTTTGTTTGTTTGTTTTTTTTAATCTTTTACTCTCATTTTGTTTGTACTTCCAGAGATTTTTTTTTTTAAGCCTGTGCTCAGCCTCCCATGTCCAAGCACAGGACCAATGAATAGGGTTAGCCTGTGCTCTGCTTCCATTTCTTCACTTCCTGTTCTGGCCTCAGCTCATTGAGATCTGGTTTCTGACTATTCCAGTCAGCTAAAGCTATTTCCTTGAAGGATCCCCATGACCTCTGCTCATCATTTTCCGTGGTCTTTTTTCAGTCTTCATCTTCTGAAGCTCTCTGCAACCTTAGACATACTAAGCAAGAGAAGCAAAGCGTTTTTGGCTTTCTTCACGTTTTCAGTTCCTTAAATGTAAATTTTCCCCCATGTTTTGTCTGTGTTTCATTTTTTTATTTTTCACCATTCATTCCATGAATAACAGGCTCATCATGACTTCGAAGTGAATCTCAACTAGGAGAAAAGAAGCTTTCAACTAAAATGAAGTTGAGTTTTAATGATTACACAGGCTGGACATTGTGATTGTTGCTATATGATTGTTCCTGGGACTACAAGTCTTTTAATGCTTTGTTTTTGCTCTGATCTAATGATGACTGAAAAGTTATGACACTTGCCCAAGTTTCTATCCAAAAATCAAGGAAAAATGAGACCTCAGAAAGATTTAAAGGGATTAAAGGTGGAATCAAATTGTTTTCTCTTTGCACCCAATTAAAATACCAGTCTTTCAATATAAGGGTGATACATAAAATGGTGAGTCTCTGCTGTCAGGGCACTTACATAAGGGCCAAGTAATTATAAAAATTTCAACTCTAGTAAGTGGTACCTGGGACCATGAAAAGTATGTAACTGGTAGACTTCATTCTTGATCGGTGTGTCAAAAGCCCGAGTAGTGGATCAACAATTTGTCCAATTGTTTCTATGGCTATTTAATAAAAGTTTACTGAAAAGCACATTGGATGAGATGACTTTCACAGCTTTAGCAAATTTTTGCATGGTTCTAATTGACTGGTGTTTTTATCTGCCTTCATAACAGCATTGAAAGATTGTCTGACATTTCTGCCCCAGTTTGTCGTTACCACAGTGGGAGGGCACTGAGAAGAGAGGGTGTTCTTGTGCTTGGGGCTGGGCAGATGGAGGACAGAGTGTCCGTCCTCCAGAGCGGGCACCTGGGACACAGAGAGAAAACACTGGCTTTCCACAACTGGCTTTTGACCCGATTGGCCTCTTCCCAGCCCTCATCATATTTCTTTGGATTCCTGCAGGTCTAATTGGCATTTATTTCCCCTGTCTGATACATCTCCAGAAAGATCTTCCTCGAATGCAAATTTGCTTCCCAACTTGAAGTCCCTCAGTGGCTCCCTCAGGACCTGCTCTTTTACCCCCTCACCACCTCTCACTCTATTCTCCAGCCTCGAGCACACTGTCCGTTCTCACAGTCCTACCTGGAGTGCCTATCTATCACCCCTCTGCCAGCAGCCTCTTCCTCAGCACCCTCTGAACTCAGCCCAGACATCAGCAATTCCGGGAGATGTCCTCCAGTCTCCTAGTCAGCCAGGGGCCCAGAACACTGACCTAACAGCAGTCTGGCCCCTGTGGATCAGAGGTTTGTCAGTCAGGCTTGCCTGTCTCCTCCCTTCAGGTTAGTGTGCTCATTAGGGCAAGAGCTTTTTATTTCTCTGGCTGGAGGCACAGAGTGCTGCTTACTAACTCATTTACTGAATTAGTTGATAAATGAGCTAATGATCTATCTTCCAAGCTTCAGACACACATCTCCCCTCCTACACAATATCTCCTGATACATGTCCATCAGGCACCTCCGTCTCTAACCACATTCATAATGCTCTAATTTAACTTAATGTCTATTTTGATTAATGTTATTATACATCCTGACTGTCACTCAACTTCAAAACCTAGGACACACCCTCAACTCCTACATGGAATAAACTGTCCAATTTCATTGCTTTGTCTTCTCAAGTGTCTTTCCAAACTTTTCTCATGCTCACTCCTGCTGCCTCTTACTCCGCAGTTTTCTGACCAATGAACACCCCGTTGGAAGCACACCCCGCTGCCCCCCGCTGCATGGCTGTCAGTTGGGACTCACAACTCCCTAGATACTATCTGCGCTACCTCTCCGGGGCTTTGTTAGCACCAGCCCTCTGCTAACACCTGTCCTTCCTCCCCTTGCTCAACTGCTACCACCTCCATGAGGCCTTTTAAAATCCCCCTTGCAAGATTTACTCTCTTCCACTCCAGGAGCACTGCGTATACTTGCACCACTATTACATCACTTACCACAGTCTGCCTTGTACCTCAGTTATTATGTGTGTTTCTACATTATCTTCTTAGAAGACAGAGCCCATGCCATGTGCATCTTAGAAAAATTTTGCACACCGTAGGAGTTTAACAATTAGTTTTGCAGTTATTAGTAGAATTAATCAATTTCATTCATCAAGTCATTCCATAAGACTAAATTCAGCATCAAATGTGTTACTCCTTAACATGACTGATAAGACTCATTGATTTCTTCAAAGGCAGAATTTTATGCTGGCATTAGGATATTAATAGCTTCCATTGATTTCATGCCTATTACCTGTCAAGCATTATATGCATATTATTTTTAATCTTTCCAATAACCTTGCAAAATAGAAGAGCTCATCCTCATTTTACAGATGAGGAAACTCACATTCACGAGGGTAACTTGCCCAAGATCATATACAAGTAACTTGTAAGTGTCCAAGCTGGGACTAGAAGCCAGATTTATTTAATTCTAAAAACAATCAGACTACATTCCCCTCATCTGTATTGTGGGGTTGGTAGATCTGTTTCATTCCTTTCCTTCACTTTTTCATCTTCAAAAAGATTTTGGTTTGTTGCTAACAATTTTTATTTGTGTTTTATAGGTCACTTCGACATCAGGCACACCTCAAGAGGATCTGGTGGATAAAAAGTGCTTACGTGAAAAATACACACATCTCTCCTGCCAAAAAGTCTTCTGCCAACCATGGCAGAGATGCATCGAGGGGACCTGTATTTGTAAACTTCCTTATCAGTGCCCGAAGGGGGGCGCCCCAGTGTGCTCAACTAATGGGAAAAGCTACCCAACCTACTGTCAGCAAAAGAGTTTAGAATGTCTTCATCCAGAGACAAAGTTTTTAAGTAATGGAACATGTACAGCTAATGGTAGGAAAAGCCTAGTTTATTCTATAATATAAGAAGAAAATTGCCGATCATACTTTCTATTAGAAAATAGTTCTCATCTGAAATGTTACGGTGACAATTAAAAATTCTCTTCAGTCTTAGTAGTAATTGGGGTGATAACTAAAGAAATCAGAAGGGAGCCAGCATTGGATCCAGGGCCCGAGGGTGTGAGGCCAGTCCTCCCCTCAGTGCTTTGCCGCCCAGCCCTTCAGAATTGTCCCCACCCTCATCTCTACTTAGCTAAAAAGGTCATTGACTTGGTTCAAAACCCAGAAATAAAGCCTTTACATGAGATTGGTACTGATGTGGAGTCCCCTCTGGACCTCCGGCCCCAATAATTTCTTCCAATACTCACCCGCCCCCCAGCCCCTACCCCTCTCCCTAGCCAAGGCTGAGCCCAGGCCACTGCTGACCTGGGACATACACCAACCTAGCAAACTCTGCACATCAGATCAGAGAGCTTGCCTGCACTCCTTCCATGAGCCTGATGTAGTAAGAAGGTCGGGATGCTAACATGTGAGTTAGTGCAGTGGTTAAGATTAGGGATCTCAGTATCAGTCCAATTTAATTGCTAGCCCTGCCAAGCCCCAATTTGGTTATTGACAAGCTCTGTGACCTCTCTGGGCCCCCATTTCCATATCTGCAGAATGTGAATAATAGTAATGCTTAACTCGTAAGGTCCTGGTGGAAATTAAATAAAACGATGTATGCAGAGTTCATCGCACAATGTTGACACAGAGAAAATGCTCATGAAATTTCAGCTTTGACAGCAAACCTCAGGCTTATTGTCTTTCAATATCAGTTATCACAGGCACTCAATGAATTTACAGAGGAATGCTGAAAACATTCTTTTTAAAAGCATCATGATATGTATATACCAGCTCACAGCAGCCTACATGTTTTTGCGGTGCTGAGTTAAGACATTGAGGTACTGTGGAAAGGAGAAAGAAAGCTCCCTGTTTGAGCCCGTCTCTATTACTTGTTGGAGAGGAGGAAAGCAATAGTGGAGATTATTTTGTCGGTGTCCCACTTCTGTTCCCTTGAGACATTAAATGCCTTAAATATATGAGAACAAACAAACCTTACTTACACTTTCATTTTTTTGTTTGGCGTACTTTTCAGAGCACAGACTTTGGAGTGAGGTTGATATTAGTAGGCTCAGATTCCTGGCTCTACCACTTGAGCAAGAAACTTAACCTCAGATATCAAAATGAAGGAACTTAGGCTCCTTGTGTGTAAAAATGAGGATGGAAATCAGCCTAATCTACTGAGGGTTGATACGAGGATTCTGTCATACTCTATATGACTGGGTAGCACAGCCACTGACACGTAGTAAGCTCTCATAAACTAGTTGGTATCATTACTTGTTAAAATCTTCATGGTGTTTAATTTGATATTATGTATTTTATTATTTTCAAGGCTTTCAATCAAGAGGAGAAGAGTGGATACCTAAATGTTGCTCATTCTGTTGGTTTTATTCTAGGACAGTTTGAAGTTACCTTGAAGTATGGCAAAAAGTATTCAGAGGGAATTGTTGAAGTAAAATTTGCAGGCCAAAATAAGACAATGTTCATATGTAATGACAGCTGGAGCATAACCGAGGCCAATGTGGCCTGCCTTGACCTTGAATTTCAACAGTGAGTTCCTGTATGAGGGTATTTTCTCAGGGTTGATTTTCTTGTTCCAACTATTTGCTTTTTGATTACCTAACCTTTCTGTGGCTCAGTTTCCTCAAATGTAACCTGAGAATATTAACTGCCTGCCTCAATCCAGCATTGTTAGGATTAAATGTGCTCATGATTGTTTAGCACTTAGAACACTGCTGAGTACAAAGCAACTGAAGTTTGTTAAAGCATCTGGATACAAATTCTTTGCTGATTCAGAGAGTTGCAAATAACTTCCATTACTGCCTGTCTCTACTCATCTATAATTATGTCCACCCTTTCATACCTAATAATATTTATTTAAGCCTCCTTTCTTTTTTTTCCTGATCAACCTTGCATAGCTTTGTCTATTTGAGTTGTTTTTGATTTTTAGGTTTATAAATTGTCTCTTTTTCAATTTCATTAAGTTTTGCTGTTACGTTTGGCTCTCTCTTCTTTTCTGTATTGTAATTTCTCTAATTCCTTGAGTTAAATACTTAACTCCTCAATTTTCAATTTTTATTTTTTTCTAAGATAAGCATTCAAGATACAAATTTCACCCTAGCTAACTCTTCATTTGCATTCCATTAGCCTCCATAAGTGGTTTTATTTATTGTTGACTTCAAAATATTTTCTAATATTCAAAATGATTTATTCTCTCACCCATATATAATTTAGAAGTTTCTTTCTTTCTAATGGATATATTAGTTTGCTTTTAATTAGCTTTTGTTATTGACTTTCAATTTAATTGTATTGTAGTCAGAGACTATCTCTATACAATGACAATTGTTTAAATATTTGTTGAGACTTGATTTGTGCTAAGTACATTTTAAACACTTCATGTACAGTGTTTATATAATCAGTATGTTATTTATTAGAATAAGCAAGTTTGTTAACTGCATTGTTCAAATCTTTTCCTACTTATTCACTTACAAGTTTTCTGTGTCTTTATCTTTCATGTCCCTTATAAACAGTATATATCTATATTTAAAAAAAAATCCAATATGACAATTACTGCGTGAAGTGTGTAGAACATTACACTCTTGTGATTATTTACACTTTTTAATTTATTTTTCCTATCTTATTTTGGGCTTATTATTTACCCTGCTTTTTCTGTGCTTTTTCTTGTTTCTTCCTTCTCTAACTTCTATTGGGTTAATAAAGTTTTTTTTTTAATCTTTCCCATTTTCTGCCTCTATGTGGTTTGGAAATTATATTCTATTTCTATTCCTTTACTGTCATATTTGCATTAACACCATGAATCTTTGACTTAGCAAGTCCACGGCCTCTTCAGGAATAATACAAACAATGTCATTACAATGTTTGGTTTCCAGGATTTAGTTCCATCTCATTTAAACATGTCCTTGAAGTTAATTGCTATCACTATATAATAAGCAATTATTATTACTGTTGTTCAGTCAGCACTTACTTAGATTTATTTGATGTTTACCAACTTCTTGATTCAATTCTGAATTCGATTTTCTTCTTTTTAAACCATATCTGTTAGTAAGTAGTTCATTAGTGAGAGTCTCTAACCATTAAAATGAGCCACGGGGTGTTTATGATTTTTTGGCAGTCTGTGACCTACAACCTTATTATTCTACCTAACGGTAAACTTTCTCACTATCTTGTTCTTATCATATTTCATGTAAGCTCATGAACAGGTTTCCCAGATATGAGCCAGTGGGTATTTCCCATACTTCCTTAAGAGCTTATTATAAGTATTTTTTATATTTTATCTAGTATTTTTGGATAGTTTTAGGCTGAGAGCTTTTCCATATTATTCACCTTTCAGATTACCCCAACTGGTTCTCATTTATGCCCATATCTTGATGCTGTTTGGCATAGTTCCATGACTACTATATCTTCATTATGGATCTGAAATAATTAAAAATACCCTCCTTGCTCCACTTAACTGTTTTGCCTTTCATTCTAATTCTAATTTATCTAAAATCTATATTGGCATTACTCCTTTATTTTTGTTTATATTTGTCTGGCGTATCTTTGCCCAACTTTTTATTTTTAACCCATTTTTCTCATTTGCCTCTAAAGAGGAGCAGAGAGCTTTGAATGTCCTGGAACAGTAGTTCACTGCAATTCATAACCTCTAGAATATTGGGTCACTGGGGTAGCCTCTTACACAAATTTTAAACAAATTGGTAAGTCCAAACAGTGATATATAGATGTCAAAATATCACCTTGATACTGTTAAGGATGAATTGAGGATGTCGCTTAGTGTAAAAGCAAAATGGACCTGCTAAAATCAAGTCAACTTAACATGCCAAATCCTAGGCAACAATGGGGCCAATGTGGTAAGGCTTACAGCATGGGGCAGGCAAAAGAGTCACCCCTGCCCTCCCCCAATCCCACCAAAAATGGAAAAGCTGGCCTGACTTTGCTTGATTTATATTTCTAAAATTCCCTAATCAAATTAATCCATTCCCTTTTCTGGAGAGAAAGGCCAAGATTGGCATATCTCAAGTTGGAAGGAAACTTCAGGAATGAGGAAGAAGAAGCAACCTTTCTTAACAAGAAACAGAGGAGAGGCCCTAGCTGGTGTGGCTCAGTGGACTGAGTGCTGGCCTGCAAACCAAAGGGTCACCGGTTCTGTTCCCAGTTGGGGCACATGCCTGGGTTGCAGGTCAGGCCCCCAGCTGGGGGCTCATGAGAGGCAACCACACATTGATGTTTTTCTCCCTTTCTTCCTCCTTTTCCCTCTCTCTAAAAATAAATAAATAAAATCTAAAAAAAATTTAAAAAGAAGAAACAGAAGAGAGGAAACCAATATTTGCTAGTGCTTGCCACATTTAGAACTCTGGCTAGTCCATTTAAATTGGTCGTTATAGTTTATCTTTACAAAACTTGATGACATAGTCATACTCTCTTTTTCAGATGAAGATACTGAGGCTCAGAGATTTTAAGCATCTTACCCAATCTACCACTCATCAGTAGAAAATAAGAGGAAATTAAATCTATTACTTTTCCTCTGTAGTGAGGTTATAAATGCAACATATTCATTATTCTACCCAAATATTTCATTTATTCTATTTGCAGAGGTGCTAATGATACCCAAGGAAGTTTTCATTTTCCTGAAGATCTCCATATAAATTCCACTGAATGTCTTCACGTGCATTGTCAAGGATTCGAGTCCCATTTGGCTGAATGTACTTTTACCAAGAGAAAAGCTAAGAATTACCAGGCTTTGGCCAGTGTGACATGTTACACACAGAATGCAGGTTGGTAGTGTTTGCTTGATATTTTCCCTTCCTTCAAGGTTGTTTACTTCAAACCAAGTCTGTGATAAATAAACAAATGATGACTACCCAGTTGCCAGTCACAGAGGCAAAATCATATTTTGGGTTTTAGAGCCTAAATTGGTTTTCTTCCCCTATTGTAGTTTTTTGCTACTCAAGTATTAATTCTGTCTAGGTTCCTATATGGGAAGCAAAGTTGCTTGACTCCCTTTTGCTTCCTTGAATACCTGGATTAAAGTTAACATAAGCAAGCATAAAGCAATCAAACATCAGAAGAAACCTCAGCATCTCCTTTGAGATGTCCAGCCTGTACAGGGTCCTTTAACATATTAAGTGACCACATCTGGGTTTCAGTTTCCAGGCCTCTTTTTCCCCTTCATCCTGACATTGGGATATTTTAGCTATATGTATGGTGTTAAAGGCCAAAGACTTTTCTGGTGCTAAAAAAAATACAAATAAAAATAAAAAAACAGCCATACTATCAAATGTAAATGGCACTGCCCAAGTAAGACTCCGGGTGAGGGTGGGGATGAGTGAAGCAGCATGAAAAGGAAAGGTGAGCACCCCAGTGTTCGCCAGTGTCGGCGAGTGCTCCTGATTCCTGAACCTGTCCCCCCAGTCTCAGCAAGTACAGATCCCCACAGTAAACACTGGTTTTCAGAGGTAACGATAGGCTCTTCATAACCCAGGGTTGGCATGTATTTTTCTTACTAACAACATGTTCTATGTTGATGCTACCAATACATTTGAAATCAATTTTTATTCAACGCCTGACTTTATCTTAATGTTCCCATTCTCCCCAAAATGTGATTAAGATGTCACCCAGAACTCTACAAATAAAACTGACAAAGCTAATCCTTACTTTACAGTTTCTCCAACAAATAACTCCTTTCAGTGTGTCAATGGGAAACACATTCCTCAGAGTAAGGCCTGTAACGGGGACGATGACTGTGGAGACCAAAGTGATGAGCTGTGCTGTAAAGGTAGAGATAAATCTCGCCTCAAATCCCCCAAATGCACCCTTTTGACTCAAAAAGTAGAAACGACTTTACCATTGAATTTAAGACTCCATCTCATTCAAATTTAAGAATTAAGAAAAAAAACACACCAAAATTCTTCTATTTATGTTTGCCTAGGGTGCCATGACAAAGCTTTCCACTGTAAATCAGGTGTTTGTATTCCAAAACAGCATGTGTGCAATGGTGAGGTGGATTGCATCACAGGAGAAGATGAAGTTCATTGTGAAGGTAATTTAAATTTTGTGGTTGCTTTTTTTCATTATTCGATCCAGGGATTCTAAAACTTTTTTTTTTAAGGCAAATTGTAATCTTAACTGACCAAAAGGAGGGTGTAACACTAATAGTACTATTGAGTGAGCATTTGAAGAACTACGGACTGTTCTTATCTCATTTTTTATTTGCTAAATATTCATTATTTCAGAACTTCTTATTAGAAAAGTTCCCACACAACAAAAATAGACTAGCAGAATGAACCCCTATACATGCATCTCCCAGCTATGACAACCATTAATATTTTGCCAGTCTTGTTCAGCATTTTCATTTGAGTATTTTAAGGAAAATTTTGGATATCACATAGCTTTACCTATATATATATATAAATAGCAACGTATTTACATACAACCATCATCTCATTAGTACACTTAAAAATAATAATAATAATTCCCTAACACTGTTTAGTAACAGCCCAAGTTCAAATTTTCCCAATTCTTTCAAAAATATCTTTTTAGAATTAATGTGTTTGAATCAGAAGACAAAGGAATCTAACATTGTGTTTGGTAATAAAGTTTTGTTGTTGTTCTACTGCAGTTGCCCTAATTTTCCCCCACTGCTCTCCGCTGCCCCCCGCCCCACAGTCAATCCCCATCCATTTGTCCATGTCCAGGGGTCATTTATACTTGTTCTTTAACTAGACCCTTCCCTTTCTTTCCTCCCTTATGCCCCTTTCCCACCCCTCTGGTCGCTGTCAGTCTGTTCCTTGTTTCCCACACCTCTGGTTCTATTTTGCTCGTTTGTTTCTTTTGTTTATTAGGTTCCTGTTATAGGTGAGGTCATATGGTGTTTGCCTTATGCTGCCTGGCTTATTTCATTTAACATAATGCTCTCCAGGTCCATCCATTCTGGTTATTAAGTTTTTAAAATCTCCTTTATTCTTTAAGAGTTACCCAACCATCCATCCCCAATTTTTTTTATGCCATTGATTTTCTAGACAAACTGGGTCATTTGCCTACAGGATATGCCTTACTCTGGATTTATGGAGACTTGATTAGACGCAAGTTTCAGGCACAGATTCTTGACAGCACCTTTAAAGGTGCTGATGGCCCCTTTAAAACACTTTCTCTACAACCTTTGACCTCAATGGTTTTCAGCATCCTTTGTAATTGTTGCCTAGGTTCAATTTCTCAATAGGGACTGTAAAATGGTGATTTCTAATTCAACATTCCTTTTGCATTTATTAATGTCATTAGAGAAGAACTTTCTGTATCAACTCATTTGTTTCCATGAAATGCAGTTCATAATAAAAAGGCAAATCAGGTTAGTTCTTCCCCTTTACTTACCAAGAATTTCAAAACATTGAGTTGATGGTTTTAGATTTTTGGTGCTCATTGAAAAACCTTCAATGTGAGGAATATTTACTAGGTACCTACTCTGCCACATAGACTGACTTCTTGCTTCCATCAGTGTTTCTGGGGGGAAAAGCTCTGCAGGTTATCATATTCGTTCATTTACTCAATATGTATTAAGTTCTCACTATGTTATGTGTGCCAGGCCCTGTTCTAGGTGCTGGGTTTACAATAGTGAATAATATTTTTAAAATCACTGCCCCTTCATAGATTTTATATTCAAGTGGGCAAGGAAGACAATAGAAAAGAGAAATAAATAAAATATCTTGTAAGAAAAAATAAGTACTAAGAAGAAAAATAAAGCAAGGAAGGAGGATATAACATGCCAAGGGTAAGTTCTAAAATTTTAGATAAGGTGGCCTTGGAAGTCTCACTGAGGTAACTTTTAGGCAAAGAGCTGGAAAAAATGTAATAACTATGTATGGTGCCAGGTGGGTACTAGAAATATTGAGGGGAACACCTTGTAAAGCATATGATTGTCTAACCATTATGCTGCACACCTGAAATTAATACAAAATAATATTGTAATTATTATTTTTGAATTATTAATTATTGGATATAAATTGTAATTTAAAAAAAATTTTGATAAAAAGAGAGATAGCCAGCCATGCAGATATCTGCGGAAGTGTTTGAGGCACAGGCAACAACCAGGGCGCTGTTCCTAAGACAGGAACACGTCAGTATGTTGGGGGAACGAGCAGCCAGGAGGCTAGTGGGACAAGTGTTACAGGTGGTGGTCATGAGAGATTAAAGGACAGACATAGGAGAGGCTGGCCGGGTGGTTGGGGTGGAAGAGGCCAGGGCCTGTTAGTGAGTGAAGTGGGGACTTTAAATGACATGACATGACCTTCATTTTAAATGCAGATCAACCTGGGGACTGGGTGGGAAATCGTCTGTACTAGGGTAAGGGGAGGTACGGGGAGACCTGTGAGGAAGCCACTGCACCAATCCAGGCAAGAGACGACAGTGATTCTGACAAGTGAGTAGGGAGGGAAATGATGAGACGCAGTCAAATTTTGGATCTGTTTTGAAGCTAGAGCCCAAAAAGGTTTGCTGATAGATTGGATGGGGGTGTGAGACCAAATCAGGAGTCAGGAATGAGTCCATGGGTTCGGGCCTGAGAATTGAAAGGATGGAGCTACGTTCCACAATGGTGGGAAAGGCTTCGAAAGAAGTGGTGGTACTTAGGCACACCTCACAGATGGGACTTACCCAGTGGTGTGCTGGTAAATGTTTAACAGCTGGTTTTGAGAAGGAGAGGGAAGCCCTGATTTGTATACAGCCCCTGTCAATTTCTGCCATGTAAATGCTCCCACAATGAGTGATTTCAAGCCACTGACACAATGTCACAGAACACAAGCTGGGAAGTAACACAACAGTCTCTCGTGTAGTGGTAGAGTCTATACCAGGATGCTACTGAATGACTGGAAACTGCTTATTGTCATTTTTGTGCTTGTCTTACCTTCCCTTCTCAACTGTAAACACCTTGAAAAACAGATTCTATCTCATTATATTTATATTCCACATGTCCTAGGTAAAAAACCTTACACCATTCAACGTCAAATAAGTAAATGTTGAAGATGTGTAGGGATAAGTGAATCAATACTAATTCTGTTTTGTCATTACTTGGTATGCCAAGTATTTGACTTCAGTGAAATTTTGTTTAATTTTCCATTGATATCACTTCTTAAATTAATTAGGATTTCAAATCATATCATTTCTCCTGAAGGGTATAAAAGCAGGTGAACAAAATACTTTTACATTCATTATATGTAGTTAAATCCTTCATAAAGAGAGAGGAGAAAGAAATTTCAAAAATTTTTTCAGGGAGAAAGGCAGTAAACCATGGCTTTGCCAGTGAAACTTGACAGTTTTCCTTCTAGTTTTATTGAGATATAATTGATACACTGCACTGCGTAAGTTGAAGGTTTACAGCATAATGACTTGACACATATATCGTGCAATGACTATAATGAGCTTAATTAACATCTATCATCTCACATAGTTAAAAAAAGAAGGGTTTTTTTCCTTGTGATGAGAAAGTTCATGATTTACTCTCTTAGCAACTTTCAAATATGTCATTCAGCAGTGTTAACTGTAGTCACCATACTGTATATCACACCCCCCATACTTATGTACCCTATAACTGATTATTAATAGATAGAACTATCTTGTACTTTTTGACCACCTTCACCCTATTCCCCCTGCCCCTCCGCCCTGCCTCTGTTAACCACCACTTGGATTTCTGTGTCTGCAAGTTTGGTTTTTTAAGAGTTGAGGTAAATGAAATCATACAGTGTCTGTCTTTCTCTGAAGCTATATACAGTTTGACTTCACTTCTTCAGTATAATATGTTGGGTTTCTTCTCTGCCTCTTCCTTCCCCACTCCCTCTCTTTCCTCCTTCTCCTCCTAATTCAAAACTTTAAAGTTTATTGTCAAAGAACACAATTTGTTATTTCATCAGAAAAAAATATTCTACTTCAAGGGAGTGACTATAACATGAAGCTACTTTCCTTATCAATTTCTCAAATCGATATCAAAAATACATATAGTCAACTGTCATTGTTACTTCAGTTTACCCTTCTATTTCTGTAATGAATCTAATTTCTCCCCATGTAAGAAAGAGCAAGTGAGAGTAGATATGTAAAATATATGTATATTAGACATATTCATTGGTGTCTCTTTTCAGTGAACAGATCAGAATGATTAAACCAAGGGAGGTTTGGGGTATATCTTGATTTCATTTATCTTTCATAAGCCTACTTTTTATTAATATAAGTTAAAGAGTTACAAATGTGGAATAACTGTCTAGTAAGTTTGCTGTTGGGCATGCATTCAAATATATCTAAAATACAAGTCTCTTTTATAATCTAAGTTAAAATTATTTCCTTGCTCTGGTGAAATTGGTGTGTTTACATAGAAGATGAAACATTTGTTATACAGTCTTAAAAATCAAAGGAAGAGCGCTGGTTGGTGTGGCTCAGCTGGCTGAGTGTTGTCTTGCAAACCAAAGTGTCTTGGGTTCAAGCCCTGGTCAGGGCAGGCACCTGAATTTTAGGTTTAGCCCCCAGTTGGAGCACATGCAAGGGGCAACCGATTGAAGCTTCTCTCCCTCCCTACCTCCCTTCTCCTTTCTGTAGAATCAGTAAGAGGAAAAAAATGTTTAAATCAAAGGGAGATGGCATAAGGTGGCTCCCTTTTATGTTCTTATAAATATTAATTTAAGTTGTTATACTATGTCTGAAATAATAATGATTTGTGTGTATTTTATCTATGCGAAAATGATCTCTTTGCTACAGTGAGTTTTTGTTTTGTTTTGAAGAGTTGAAAATCTTAAATTTAAAGGTAAATGTATTTTTATAATAGACACTCTATATTACGGAATTGAAAATAAGAACCAAGTGTTATAACTTCTATGACATATGTACAGTATATTGATGTAGTGTGCATTTTTCTCAAATTAAAATTATCCTTTGCTGTGGTAAACTTTTTGTTTTTTATTTTTTCAGGCTTTTCACATGTGGCTCAAGGTAAAAAACAATTGTATTAAATTCTTGGGATATTGCAGAATTGAAACAAAACAAAGATACTGCTATCTTATATTTTAATGTAACTCTTAACTGAGGAAATGACCAAGTATTACCATTCACTCAGCTTCAACATGATTTCAGGCACAGAGGCCTTTGTTCACAGTGTGATAAACTCTCGTTCTCATTCTCGGTCCCTGTCTGCAGTCTGCAGACTGAAACTACCCAAAGTGGGGCATCTCCTGCATGTTCCACATTTGCCAAGTGCCCTTCTCCTTTTCCTTCACTTTTCCCTCAAAGCCAAGCCAGTTCCTGACCAAACTGCCACCAGATGAAAGATACATCGTTGCATGATAGGTATTTTCTTATACTTTGTAAGTTGGAAGTTCCCAAATCCTGCTCTTTATGATCACCTTTTTCTTTCTCATCCATATTAAATGACTACCAGAAGGTCACAGCCCTCCCTTAAGGTTTCTTAGGGTTTCCGGGAGACATCTATGTGCTCAAGATCTCCCCTAAGGGCCTAATACCAGTTATTTCTTTGCATTCCCCTCCATTGTCATCTTACCCTCCAAGGCTGCTGTTCCTCCTACCACCACCAGAAGCCTTCGTTATTTCTTCTCTTCCTCCCACCCTCCCTCCCTTCCTTCCGTCTCTTCTTTCCTAGTGTCAGACCTCAGGGGCACAGAGATGAGTTCATGGTACTCCTCAGCTCATTGAACCTGATCATCCCTGGTCCAGGCAAGGCCCCACTCTTGTTTTATTTATTCTCCTTTAGCCCCATTCCTTACTCCCATTCCCCTCAGCAACCGTTTTCATGTGATTTAACATGTATGTCTCTTTGTTTATATGCATTCTCATCCAATGTGTATTCTTATTTTGTGATCATACATTTTCAAATCATATAGTGTTTTGTTGTAGATCTCATATTTCCTTTTCTCTTTTCACAAAAGTATTCGGTTTTAAAGATCTGTTCATGGTGTTACGTAGCCATTTAATCTGTTGCTTCTAAATGCTGTGTAAAATACTCTTGTGATATTCATCTTTCACAATTTACTCTCTGCTTTCTCAGTAATGCACTCTCAGCCCCCAGTCACGCTGCAATGAATATCCTCTTCTTAGAGCTGTGTAGGAGGACTTCTCTGAGACATTTCTTGGCCAGGAGTTGTTGCCTCTTGGGGTACGCACCTACTTAATTTGACTAAGCAGTGTCTGCATGCTCTCTGGCTGAGCCCCTCTGGTCCTCAGCTCCATCTGCCACTCCTGAGGGTTCTTCTCAACCACACCAACATTTAGCATTATCCAGCCTTCTAATTTTGCTGGTCTCATACTGTCCAGTGATATGGCATTGTTTATTATTTATAATTTCTGTAATAACCAATGATTTTGAGTCTCTATATGCATGCTAGCTTTTTAAATTTTTTTCTTCTTTTTCTTCCATCTTTACTTCTACCACTTGACACCTTTTGCCTAATTTCATGTTGGGATTGCAGTCTGCCTTCTTGTTGGTTTGCGTTCTAGACATTAATCCATTTTCAGTTTAAGACATTGCATATATCTTCTTCCATTCTGTCATCTATGAAGTTTATCCATAATGAGCTTTCTTGAATATAAATCTTTAAAGTCATTGATTGTTTTTTCTAGTGGTTAGTGCTGTCAGAGCTTTGTGCTGCTTTATTAATAGCTAGTATACCTTAGCTATGCTGGACTTTCCCCATCTTCCTTTTTTGAGCATTTAGTATGAATTGTGAGACTTTTCTTTGATTCATGAGGGTGCTTTGGTGAAAGCTCTGAGCAGAGCCTCTCTCAGCCCAGAAAATGCCCTATGTGTGTGGCATAACAGACACATATGGTGGTATGTCTCTTCTGAAAAGAACCCAGGAAATCCAGGGCTAAGACTCAGGATTGCTGCACAAAGTAACATTGCCCTGTAGGCAGCAACCTCATCCAAGACAGAGCCACAGGTTGGTGGGAATCCACCTTCAGGTCCCCAGTTCAAAGAAATCAGGATCCTGAGAATAACTGAAATGTTCTAGGGGAGCAGAGTGAAGATGAACATCACTCTCTTTATCTTTAAGCAAAATCTAAGCAAGAGAGAAAGAAGAGTATTTTTTGTTTGTTTTATTTCTTGCTTCTGACTTCTGCATCTCAGATGTCTAATACTAACCATGACTGACACTGAAACCAATGAGGTATCTTTGTTTGCACGACCCCTGAAAGAAGTGCCTTATTATGTACAAAAGGAGAGGAGCTTTTGTATTGTCAGCTCAGAACTCTTTCGATCAGGTCAGTGACTGCTCCCTACCTTATGTAAGGACCTTGTGAAGGCAGACTTGAAAGAGCTTTTCTTCTTTGATCCAGGTCTTTTGCTTGTTCTAAATGCAGAAAACTGCAGCACCATGAGCCTCACCGTTCAGTTGTACCAACAGACCCCTCTAGTTGATGCCTGCAAAATTCTACAGAGTTCATTTTGAGCCTTCACAATTACCTAGCCAAAAAAAAAAAAAAAAAAAAAAAAAAAAGGAAATCAGATGAAGTGCTTTTGGGGTTTCATACTGTCCTTTTTAAAGGGAGGACAAATTTTAAGACAGAAAATTACTATCAAAGTTTAACTGATTTTAATGATTTAATTTTTACTATTAACACAACTTTAAACTTTGAATATTTGTTTTATTATAGAAGAAACAGAAATTTTGACTGCTAATATGGATGCAGGTAAGTTAACACTATTCTTTTTTACTAGTGGTTGACTGTTTTAATGTGTGTGTATACATGTATGTAAATTAATTGATTGAAGCAACAGTTACCTTTTATACCAACTTAAATAGAAAAAAACATGACATTTTCCCTTATCACTTTTAAGTAAAACAAACATAAATGCTTCTTAAGAACTGCTTTAAAAATGGATTAATACCTTTGACTAATTTTAAGTGAAAATAATACTCTAGTCCTACATAAAGTTTTTCTATTTGTTACGAGTTTTGTCAGGTCAGTTTTCTAAAAAACAACAAAATTTCAAGCATGACCTAGGACATACATTTTGAAATAGAAAAATAATGGACTTAATTGAATTTACCTGTTCTTTTGCAATGTTTTAAACCATGATAGAAGGTCTGTGAAAATCTGTACTCTGGCCAGTTGTGTATTAAATGCCAAATTGAATGTTAGTATTAAGTTTCTGGGAAGACAGTAATTGATAAGAGCTTTGAGGTCAGACCGCCTTGCATTAAATCCTAACTCAGTTATTTATTTGCCACATAACCTTAGGTGAGTAACTTAACCTCAACTACAAACTGGGAATAAAATAGCTCCCTATTTTAGGGCTATTTTAAACTGAAGTTCATGTCAGACTCCCTCCTAATGGCCAGGCCCAAAAATTAAGTAACATTTTTTAAAAATCAGGCAATGAGTTAAACATTTATATCTCAAAGCCACAGATACTCAGAAGGGGTTCTCAACAAAGGCCCTTTGTTTTCTTCCCAAGATAACATTAATTTTTAGGTACTACCCAAGCTGGTTTCACAGCCCTAAATGAATAAGATCTCTCTTCTTTCAAAGGCCCAAGCAGAAACTTAAAACTTGCCATCACACCCGTCCTCTAACATTAGGAGGGGTGGGAGCCCAATGTGGGAGCCAATCCACATTGGTTCACAACTTCTCTCCCTTGCGGATTTACCTCCCTATATGCTCAAAGCAATGGACAGCGATATTAATTTTCCTTTCTCATTTGGGTCCATAAAAATTTTCATGACATGATAAAAAATATGGGGAGAATAAGGAGTGCATCTTATACTCTTACTTTCTTCCTTTGTCATGAATTCTCTTGCAAATTCTTGTCTTAAGCCTAGCTCCACCATGTTGTCTTCCCAGTAACAGATGTACCACATCTGAATGCTCATAGAGGAAGGAAACAGCAGCTCATGTCAAGTGGCTAAACTGGCCCCTCTTCTGGCCAGCGGACCCAAGAGAGTCTAGGGGTTCCTGGCATATTATCTCTCGGGGTTAAGGTGATGATTAAATGAGATAACCATAGACAAAGTACTTAGCATGGGGCCTGACACATAGAAAGTACTTAATATTAACATCATTAGTAATATGTGATGTAATATGTGACTAATGATGTTGATATTAATATTATTCAAAAGATTTCCATATAAATAGTCTCTAAAATGTCAAAACTATGAAAGCGAGAAGATAAGAGTTTTCCACCCTGAGACTGCTACTCTGAGCTGACCCAGCTGTAATGCCTGGGCTTGTGGCATTTCTCATCAGCCAGATGTTGGTAAATGTTTAACCCCTCAGCCAGCCTCTTTCTGCCACTAGTCCACCTTTGAGGAGACTTTGAGATAATCAAGACAATTTTAGTATTAAGCCAGAATTTTTAAACAAGATAAAAATTACAGTTTAGCATCCAAAATAATTCACTAATGAATCTGGCCTCTTTCATATTCATTGTGACTCTGCTTTTTTTGTGGCATACGTAAACCAAGAAGCATCTGCCCACAAGGTAATGGGTTCAAAATCATGAGACCTGGCCGGTGTGGCTCAGTGGATTGAGCTTTGGCCTGTGAACCAAAAGGCAGCTGGTTCGATAACCGGTCAGGGCACATGCGTGGGTTGCAGGCCAGTTCCCCAGTTGGGAACAAGCCAGAGGCAACTCATTGGTGTTTTTCTCCCTCCCTTTTCCCTCCATCCCCCTCTCTCTAAAAATAAATGCATAAAATCCTTTTAAAAAGTTATGACACACTCCTTTTCTTGAAGAAAGAAGACGGATAAAGTCATTGTTCCCTAAACTATCCTGTGGAGTTAAAAAGAGCACACCCACCCGAAGGAAACGAGTTGTTGGAGGAAAACCAGCAGGACCGGTAAACCTGCAATGAAAACTTCCCAGGAATGGCCTGAGTTTGGGGGGAAACGGGAGGAAGGGATATGTAATTATAAGAGACTAGGGGTCTTGCAATGGAAATCTCTTAGAGCCACCTGTTTGTAGAATGGCAGTGATCACCCAAATGTCTTTACAGGGAGACTTCCCATGGCAGGTGGCCATTAGGGAAGATGGCAAGATCAACTGTGGAGGAATTTACATTGGTGGCTGTTGGATCCTAACTGCTGCACATTGTGTCAGGTAAAAAAATGTCTCCAATGGATTTTGAATTTCCTGAAACAATGAAAATGAGTAATAGAGATTGTGGCAGATGATAAACAAAAACATATGAGAGAGAAGCTATGGACAAGTTCCACTCTACTAACTGCTAAATATCCACCAATAACCACAATAGGGACCTCGGAGGCCAATCCCCCAGAACCTACTGTGTTCCCCGAGACCAGATTGTTGATCCCATGGGTCAAGGTCAGATAAACCTGTTGGTACCAAGTTACTTCACTTGGCTCATTTTCATGGTGGGAAAATGAGTTGATGCTGCTTACATTTACCTCCTCCTTTGTCAGGGTTTTGAGATTCTCAGGTCAAGGGAGTGGAGTATGCATAGTGTATCTGGATTCAACATTAGCACATGACAAAAGATGTCTCATAATTACCTACAGATAGGAAATATAATTTTGATTGAGGGCCAATAAAGCAAGTTAATAAATGTCTCTATTCATTTGCAAGGGCTGCCATAACTAAATACCATGATCGGGGGGACAGGGCTTAAACAACAGAAATTTATTTTCTCACAGTCCGGATGCTGGAAGTTCAAGATCAAGATATTGGTAGGGGTAGTTTCTCTTTGGTTTGCAGACACCTGCCTTCTTGCTGTGTCCTCACAATGGCCTTTTCTCCACATGCCTGCATTCCGATGTCTCTTTCTGGTTTTATAAGGAGGTCAGTCATACTGGATTAGGGCTTTACTCCTATGACCTCATTTAACATTAGTTGAACCTCTCTGAAGGTCCTATCTGCAAACACATCTAGTCACATTTGGGATTAGGGCTTCAAGATGTGAATTTTACTGGGACACAATTGAGTCCATAACAGCAACTACAGGGAAATACCTAAAAGGTGTTAAAAATGAATAAAGGTCACCTTAAAGGAGGACAGATTTTGGGATTCTGGCCTCAGCTCTGATCATTAGAATGAATGAAATATCATTTATTGAGCACTGTTACAGACCAAATACTGTGCCTGGTGCTTTCACATATGTTATTTTTGTTTTAATATTCTCATAGTTCTAAGAGGTAAATATTACTCTTCCCATTAAATAGATAAGACTGAGACTGAAAGCTTACATGACTTGGCTGAAGCTACACTACTAGTCTGTAGCAGAGCCAGAATAAAATCAAGTTTAACATATCTGCCAGTAGCTTAGATGAAAGTCTACTTAACAAAGCTGCAGATGACCCAAAGGTGAGGGGGATGGGAAACATGTTGAATGATTACGTTGGGTGATACCCATAATGACTCTCAGAGCAAGGAGCCAAATCTACTTTCCTCCTTCTGAATGACCTTTTTCTCTTGACTTCTGTGAGACACATGGTCCTGGTTTCTACCATCCTCTGTAGAGGCCACACCTTCCCTGCCTTTTTTTGCAGCTTCCCCTTCATGTGACTGAGCATTATTGCTCAAGTGAAATTCTGGAGTTCTTCAATATTTAGCTTGGTTTCCCTTTCTCTTCTTACTTCTCTCTTTAAAGTTAACTGTGTTTGATGCTAAACAATGCTATAAGCTGACACAGTGCTATTTCCAGCTTGGACTCTCCTCCAACCACTGACTGTCTACAGTCCATCAATACTTTTTGGCTATATCAAAAGTACATTGAATTCAAAATCTCTAAGACTGAGTTCATGATATGCCTCTTGCCCCACATATGGTTCTGTCCCACTGTTTCCTATCTCAGCAAATCGTAACACCATTCATCTAGTTACACAAGACAGAAATCTAAGCATCATCCCATTTCATGCCCTCAACCCTACCCAGCCCAGGCAATATGTCATCAACTCTAGGTGGCATTTTAAATTTCTAATTATTTAATCTCAAAACTTTCTATCTCCATGGTAACCCTGCTTTCACCTTTCATGTGGATTATACCAACTGCCTCCTAATCAGCTACTTACATTCACTCTGTCCACCTTCTCCCTCATCTATCCATTCTCTACTATACAGCAAGAGCAATATATTCATACCTAGTTTGATCACTTATTGCTTAAAATTCAATGGCTTCGCATTCCTCATAGGATTAAAAAAAGAAACAATTAAACAAAAAACATAGCATGGTCCATTAGGCCCCATATACCTGAGCCCTATTTACTTTGATCAATCTCACCTTGCCCCACAGCTTCACCGCCTGCTCTCTGTTCCACCTTCCTCAGAGAATTTTCCCTGACTCCCATAGCCAGAGAAGTCCTCTTTGTAAGTCCTTAGAATCCATGTGCTTTCCTTCCTCTCACTTTTCACAATAGAATACATATCTTCATTAGTGTGATTACTTATTTAATGCTCCATCTTTCCCTAAACCCTGAGCTCCATGAAGGCAGGAACTATTTCTGATTTTCTTCATTTCTCTATTCCAGTGGCTACCACAGTACCTGGTATGCAGGAGGTGCACACTAAGTATTTGTTTAGTAAATTGAATGCATAAACAGGATTAACCTTTCAACAGTATTCAGAACCTCTGATCCTGAAAAACAACCAAAATTAGTAAGAAGAACAGCGTTCTTGGAACACTAATTATTAAATAAAAGCATCCAGAATATCTCATTAGCTTGTAGGACATCACTGTTTAAGGTGATTGCCTGAGAAAAATGATGGTAGATGCCCAATTTCCTAGAAACCAAGAGGTGAAAATTAGTATAAAATGGAGTGAGGCATAAGAGCAGGCTCATTTACCATTTAACTCATTTGCCATTTTCTTTCTTTCTTTCTTTCTTTCTTTCTTTCTTTCTTTCTTTCTTTCTATTTATTTTAAATTAGATTTTATTAATTATGTTGTTAGAGTTGTTCCAATTTTTCCTCCTTCTTCCCCTTCACCCAGTGCCTCCCCCATTCCCTCAGGCAATCCCCATTCTGTTGTCCATGTCCATGAGTTATGTGTATATTCTCTTTGGCTACTCTATTTCCTGTTATATTTTATATCTCCATGACTATTCTGTAACTACCCATTTGTACTACTTAATTCCTTCATGTTTTTCACCCATCCTCTCCCCGCCATCTGGGAACCATGAAAACATTCTCTGTATCTATTATCCTGTTTCTGTTCTGCTTGTTTGTTTACTTTGGTGTTTAGATTCAGTTGATAAATGGTGTTTATTGCCATTTTATTGTTCATATTTTTCTTCTTCTACTTAAAGAACACCGTTTAGCATTTCATATAATACTGGTTTGGTGGTGATGAACTCCTTTAGGGTTTTTTTGTTTGTTTGTTTGTTTGCGAAGCCCTTTACCTGTTCTTTGATTCCAAATGATAGCTTTGCTAGGTAGAGTAATCTTGGTTGTAAGTCCTTGCTTTTCATCACTTTGAATATTTCATGCCAATTCCTTCTAGCTTGCAAAGTTTCTTTTGAGAAATCAGCTGACATTCTTATGGGGGAGCCCTTGTAGGTAACTAACTGCTTTGCTCTTGCTGCTTTTAAGATTCTCTCTCTGTCTTTAACCTTTGACATTTAATTATGATGTGTCTTGGTGTGGGCCTCTTTGGGTTTATCTTGTTTGGGGCTCTGCACTTCATGGACTTGCATCTCTATTTCCTTCACCAAGTTAGGGAAGTTTTCTGTCATTTTTTCAAATAGGTTTCTAATTTCTTGCTCTCTCTCTTCTCCTTCCAGCACTCCCATAATGCACATGTTAGTATGCTTGAAGTTATCCCAGAGGACCTTTAGACTATCCTCATTTTGCGGGGTCTGTTTTCTTCTTGCTGGTCTGATTGTTTGTTTTTTGCTTCCTTATATTCCAAATGACTGCTTTGATTCTCGACTCATCCACTGTACAGTTGATTCCCTGTAAATTGTTCCTTTTTTTTTTTTTTTTAGTGTATACTTCATTTCTGACTGGATCTTTTTTATGCTGCTGAGGTTCTCACTAAGTTCCTTGAGCATCCTTATAACCAGTGTTTTGAATTCTGCACCTAGTAGATTGTTTGTTTACACTTTTTTAGTTCTTTTTCTAGAGTTTTGTTCTGTTCTTTCATTTGGACTGTTTCTTTGTCTCCTCATTGTGACAGCCTCCCTGTGTTTGTTTCTATGTATTAGGTAGCTGCTATGTCTCCCAGGCTTGGTTGAGTGGCCTAATGTAGTGGGTGTCCTGTAGAATCTAGTGACACAGCCTCCCTTATTACCCAAGCTGGATATTCAAGATGTGCCCACTGAGTGGGCTGTGTACACCTTCTTGTTATATTTGAGTTTTGATTGCTGTTGGCACATCCAAGTTCAGCCACCAACTGTGTTCTGTCTGAGGTCATAAACTATAAAGTGATCTGCAAGTGGCAGCTAATTGTACTGGGCTTGGAGGTGCCCAGGTGAGGCCAAGCTGTGAACCAAGGCTGCCTGCTGCTGTAGACAGGCCTAGGGCAACTTAGGGAGAGGTAGAGGGCTCCTGAAGCCAGATGTTTTTTGTTTGAGAGAATTTAGGAAGACCTGAAGCATGAGCCAAGACAAGCCATTCATATGGAAAATCCACTGGAAACAGCTTGAGTCGGCCTGAAAGTTGGGTGGGGCAGGGCCTCAGGGCATCATCAGGGTGGGACAGACTTCAGGGTGAGCCAAGTTGATGTAGTCTCAGCTATGGCACTTGCCTGCCAGCTCTGTGGCTGTGCATGGTGTGGGCTCAGAAAAGGAACACTGGCCTCTGCCAGTACTTCTGTCTGGGAGAAAACTGTCTGTCCCCCAGCTCTCACCCTGATGTCAAACCATCAGTTCCTCCCTTTATGTGTCTTATGCTTTTCAATCTGCTGCCCCCACACTGGAGCTCATAAAGGGTAAGTCTTAGTAGGTCTGTATGCGAACCCTTAAGAGAAACTGCCTAAGAATCCAGCAATTTCTGTCTTCCACAGCCTCAATCTTTGCTGGTTTTTATAGCCAGAAGATATGGCAAATTCTCTTCCTGGTCACTTGAACCCTGGGCTAGCTGGCCAGCTGTGAGGCTGGGACCCTTCTCTCCTGTGATATTCCTCCTGATTTTTATCCCCACACTTGGGTGTGGGTCCAGCCTGTTCCACGTCTCTGCCCCTCCTACCAGTGTGGATGTCATTTCTTCTTTAATTCCATAGTTATCAGACTTCCATTCAGCTCAATTTTGGATGGCTCTGAATGATGGCTGTTCTATAGTTTAGTTGTAATTTTGATGTGATTGCGTGGGGAGACTGCCATCTTGACCAGAAATCATTCACCAATTCAACCAGATTTTAAAACAGCTATTATGCTCCATGCAAAATACTAGGCACAGACAGCTATCATTAATTAAGAAGACCCCTTTTTTGTTTTCAAGACTCGTGAGTGAATAAATATAATGCAAAGCTAGGATGAAATTTAAAGGTCAGGGTGACAACTGCTGTGGTCTTCACTCTGAGGACCTCTGGGGTTAGCAGAGTAATGAGAATGTATTCTCTGAGTCCTTGTTTCTAGCTAGAGATACTGTCTGGTCTCTGCAAGCACCTTCAGTGATGGTACTGTCACTCCACAGGCAGCCAGTTTACTGTACCTGTGGGCATCTCTGGTTGTTAGCAAATTCTTTATGTCCCTGATATTGAGCAGTTAGATTAATTATTCCTCTCTTCATTTACCCACTGACTTTAACACTGTCCTATGTAAACTTAAATCACACTGCTTTATGACAGCAAGGATAAAAAATATCTGCGAAAGTGAAAAATGTTCTTTAGAAGGGAGACTATCAAGTTGTGGGAGAGGGGCATGGGTTGGATGGAGGAGGGCAAAGGGGGATACACTGGGACAGCTCTAATAGAATACCAATAAAAAAAATAAAGTACTGAAAAGATGAAGCATCAGAAGTCCATGTTTATAGTTGTTTTTTCTCTCAACATATTTTATTTCCCTTTTCCTTTTCTTTTTATTATAGAGCCAGTAAAGTTCACCGTTACCAAATATGGATATCATTAATAGATTGGATAACTTATAATGCTGGGATAGTTGTTCGGATGGTCAACAAAATTATTGTCCACGAAAAGTACAATGGAACCACCTACCAGAACGACATAGCTTTGATTGAAATGAAAAAGCACGCAAGTAAAAATAACTGTATGCTGCCTACTACCGTCCCTGCCTGTGTTCCCTGGTCTCCATATTTATTCCAACCTAATGAGAAATGCATCATTTCTGGCTGGGGCCGAGATAGAGGTAAATGTTTTACAATTTTACTCAGAACCTAGGGGCTGAAAATAAATGGGAATATAAATGCATAGGATATAATCTCCTAATGCTCAGAGAGAATATATCAAATCTAGAAAAGTGAACATCCAGGAGGCTGGCTTTCTGGGTGTGGGACCTGGGCAGCTACGCAGCATACAAAGCTCTGAGGGGCCCGTGCTTGGTTTACTGCTCTGCTGTCACCATCATGAAATTCTTAATATTTTTTGCAGGAAACCCACCTCACATTTTCATTTTTCAGGGGCCTTCACAAATTATGTAGCCAATCTTGATCCAGATTTTCAAAGGACACGTAGACTCTTTGATCCTAAAGCATATAGTGAGGGGTGACCATTTACCCAGAAAAAGTATAGTGACACAGACATAAAGCATGGCTTTGGGATTTGTTGGAGAGATCTGGATGGAAGATAAACAGGTTTTTGAAGGGACATGCACAGTATTTGCTGAGTCCACAACCCTTCTGCTCACTCCACTCCCCTCCCCCACTCTCCATGCCCTACACCCCCACATCCCACAAAGAAAAAGACAACATAAAGAATTCATTCTTTGAGCCTCTAAGATTTGAGATGAACATTCATAGGAATAAGAAATGTGGACACTTAAGTACAAATTATTAGAAAGACCTGCTAAATGAGAAGTTAGATTAGAGCCTTAACCTAACCTGTTTTTCTTCCATCTTGAAGAGTTAGCCTCAGCATTTAGCTTCCTTCTGACCTCTTAAACTCTCTTTGTAAATAACTTCATTGCATTCATCTTATAGACTCATATCCAATGCAACATTTATAATTGCCAAACTGAAAAATATAAAATATATGTATGAATTCACCTGGATTTGTGGTATGTTTGAATACCCAAGACTTACAAAACACTACAAATTTTTAAAAGATTTTATTTATTTTTAAAGAAGGGGAAGGGAGGGAGGGCAAGAAACATCAATGTGTGGTCGCCTCTCACATGTTCCCCCACAGGGGACCTGGCCCGCAACCCAGGCGTGTGCCCTGACTGGGAATCAAACCAGTGACCCTTTGGTTCTCATGCCAGCACTCAACCGACTGAGCCACACCAGCCAGGGCTAAATTTTATTAGTAATTAATTCATCCAGAAAGCAGTATGTCCTTATAGTAAAAACAAACAAGCAAGCAAACAAAAAAACTTTTATGTACATTTACAAATATATACAAAAATACAGGCAAAAGTACAATAAACCTATTTATTCATCACCCTGTTTCCACAATTATCAACATTCTACCATTCTAGTTTTATCTCTTTGAATCAATCACTATTACAATAGGATAATTAGGAAGGTTTATTTATAAAGGAGTTGACTACAAAGATATGAGTGTCAGGTTGGGGAACCAGGAGGACTATGCAGAAACTCAGGATTAACAGTACGAGCTGAGACCTCTCCTAGGTCTGATGTGTAAAGAGAAAGAGAAGCTACCAGAGGGAAAAAGAGCCTTAAGTATAACAGGCTTCCTTGAGAAAAGCAATGACCTTGAGTTGAAGGTTATAGCTAGCCCAGATCTTGCTGGCTTCTCTCCTTCCCTGCCTCCCTTCTGTTGGAGTCTTCTGTTGGAAACCTGCTGGAAACTAGAGGCTAAAGGATTCTTATTGAACTATCTCCTACCTCCAAGTCAGGCTCTTAGGGCAGGGAGCAGGGCATTGAAGAGTAGAGAATGGTTCTGCAGGGCAATCAGGAGAGCTATTCAACATATTCCCAACACACACATTTTTTTTCCTGAAATATATTAAGTCTAATCCCAGATTGCATATAATTTCACCTATGAATATTCTAATATCTTTACCAGGTAAGGACTTAAAAAAAACAAAGAAACAAAAATCTACTACTTTTCATACTAAAAAAAAATGAAAGTGATTTGACAATGTCATCTAATAACCAGCCATTGTTTAATATTCCTTAATTATTTACAAAGTATTTTTACAATCAGGTTATTTCCATTGGGATCTAAACAAAGTCGACATGTAGCACTTGGTGGCTATTTTTCTTAAATCTCTTTTAATCTACAACAGTTACTCTTTTCTTCTATTTAAATGTACTCATTAAATAAACTGGGTCATTCTTATTTTAGAATTTCCACACCTTGAATTCGGCCGATTGTAGCATTTAACATGTTCTTCTATTCCATGTATTTTCTATAAATGGTAGATATGTTCTTATGCATTGGTTTGTTTATTAATCAAACATGGTTTAACACTTTTATTGAGCCCTTATAATGAGTCAAAAATGCAAATGTGCTAAGATTTTACTGATTAATAATACGGACCCAGTTAAAAAATGGGGTTCAGAGGCAACAAAGTGGAGTGACAAAGGGCAGCTTTCAAGGACTTGCAGCTCTCAAGGGATTCCTCTCCTCTCCTGTAGGCACCATCAGTCACGAATGCTACCATCAGACAGAAGAATGTGACAAGTGCCTGAAGAGCTAGCTATACAAAACTAGAGTTCAGGGGAGGGAGCAGTCTCCCTAGTCATTAAAAATTTCTCACATAGAATAGGAACTCCCCATTTTTAAGGGCTTTTCCTGCGCGAGGGGAAACAATAAATTACTAATTTTTTAAAAGCTCTTATCCTGAGGAAGGTGTCCATCTTGAGGCTAACTTGAAGTAGGACTTGAAGGAGAAAAAACAGATACTCTTTCCAGATTTGCCATACACTTTGGTGGATTTTTGTCTCCCTCTGCTTCCCAGAAGAGACCATTAGTTCTACAGTTAACTGTTGGGTTGGCAAAAAAGTTCATTTGGATTTTCCATAAGATGACTCTAGTAGTGCTTCGTTGTCTTTAACATCATTCAAAACAGATTTGTTAAATTGTACTGTGACAGTTATATTGGTGTACATCTTAAAAAATAACTTATCAAAATTAGTAAATTTTTGTGTAGCCACTTTAATATTTAAGATGGAAGAAAATAAGCAACATTTTTGGCATATTATGCTTTATTATTTCAAAAAAGGTAAAAATGCAACTGAAATGCAAAAATAAAAGAGATTTGTTCGGTGTAGGGAGAAGGTACTGCGACTGACTGAACATTTCAAAAGTGGTTTGCAAAGTTTTGTGCTGGAGATTCTCACCAGATGATGCTCCATGGTCAGTTAGACCAGTTGAAGTTGATGGCAATCAAATTGGGACATTAACTGAAAGCAATCAGCATTATACCACACGGGAGAGAGCCAACATACTCAAAATATCCAAATCAATAAAGTTACTGGTGAAAATGAAAAGTCTTTTGTTTTATGGAAAAACAATGATATGGATTTTTTGGCCAACCCAATGATATGTGCTTACTATAGTGCTAGGGTCTGTGGGGTTGTTCATTCAGGATAAGCCAGAGAGATCTCTGTCTCCAGGTAGTTTATAGATAAATTGAGAAGGTAAGTCATTTGGCATAAGGTGTTCAGTGTATGATTGAATTACTGAGTTCATGGATTAATTGTATAATTTTTTATTAAGCAACTACTGTGTGTTAGTGTGAGGCTGGGGGCTTTGCAATAAGGAACGAGTCAGGTCTGCAACTGGCCCTTCTAGAGCATAATAGCTGCTGATACCTGGGAAGAAGGAGTAGGGAAGATGGGCAAAGATGCACTCCTTATCCCTGAGACATCTCACCCTGTATTCTTAGGTTTTTCTCATCTTCCCTAGACTGTGGATCAGCAGCAGTACCTGGCCCTTTTCTTTCCTAGGATGTAAAATGTCCAAGTCCCAAATCTCTAACTTAAATGTACAGGAAACCCTAAACCCCCTTTCACTTTCAGCTCACTTAGGAGATGGAGTTCCTCACAAATGCACAAAACACATACACACTGATAGTTTTGTATGTATTTTCTTTATTTTAACTTCTTACATTAAAAAGCTGTTTTCACTCTAACAAGCACTTTCAAGGAAATAAGGAACTATAAGAAAATAGAGCTGTTTCCGTGAGAAGACCCTGATCCCTGATTCCGACCCAACTCCCCCACTGGACTAGGCAATCAGACGGGAAGGAGTTTATCTCACTCATCTCAGCTCTTGACTGAATGAGTACGACTTCAGAGTACCTCCTGACTATTTTTAGTAAGAAAAATACAGAAACTGGGGATATGAGCAATATATGATTAAGTATACTAATGAATTATCCTCAGAAGTATTAAAGAAGATATATATTCTTATATCTTCCTAATGGTTTACTAAATTATGAGACTAAGTATTTATTAGGTTTCTCATTTGTGACTTCTAAATATCTATTTGTTTTCTTACTTTGTTTAGATAATGCAAAAGTCTATTCACTTCATTGGGGTGAAGTACGCCTAATAGGTAACTGCTCTAACTTTTACCCAGGTCGGTTCTTTGAAAAAGAAATGGAATGTGCAGGTAAGTATTAAGTGGTTTCTCTGGTATATTTTTACATGTACTCCCTACCAAACGTGTCTCCTCCACCCCACCAAATTAGTCTCCTTGCTCTGGGCCCCGAACCTTTCATCTGGCCTTCTGGCTGTTGCATTATCAAACTCCTTCACTCCCTCCCTCTTAGTTCAAGTTCCCTCATTCTGACACTAAGAGGAAAAGCCTTCCTTAAGCTATTCTACAGCAGTATAGCAAGGTGACTATGAGCACAGACTCTGGAACCAGACTGCTGCGTTTATAGCCTTGTGTTTACCCATTAATACTCATGTGACCTTGAGCAAGTTTCCTTATGTGCAAAATTGGGAATCTTAATTGATGAGGACACTGAGATGCAAAGAGTTACCTAATTTGCCCAAAGTCTTACAGACAAATGGTATACTCAGGATCAAAATCCAAACTCCAAATAAAAATCCAAATGATCTCATTTCAAATGCATCCAGTTGGAATTAAATCCTCTCTCCTCAGAAATCCCATTGCACTTCTTACAATACCTGCCACTGTCTCCTTGGTCACCACAGTCACGCCAGTGCCCCTCCCCAATACAATACAGCCGTTCCTACTTTTGGTGGAGACCCAAAGGCGGGGTACCAGTCAGGTAGTATATTAATGATGCTTTATTGAAACCACCTATAAGTAATGTATTACAGGAAAAGAAAGTTATTGACATCCTGTAAATGCTTGGATACAGTGATTTAAAAGTCTTAGAAAGTAAATAGACTATTTCCTGTGCCTTCCCATCTGAAAATGGAGTTCAGGAATATACAGACAAAAAGGAAGAATAGCACAAAATCTACCAGGAGGCAACATCACAGATAAGAGGACAAGCTCTGAGATCTGGCTGCCTAAGTCCAGGCCCTGCCACTTAGTAGCTGCATGGTCTTGGGCAAGAGGTTAATATTTATAACCTATATTTCATTTGTCTCTTCTTAAAATAAGGATAATAATGGCACTTACCTCATAGAGTTGTGGTGAAGATTAAAGCAATGGCTAGTACATATAAGTACTAGGTATTCCTATTATTTTCCCACTCAGCATATGATGCTACTCTCAGAATGCAATCTCAACATAGCATATACTTACACAAAGCAGAGAAAGCAGAGAGAGTACTTGCTTAATTTAGAGAATGAGTAGGAGACACAGTATTTTCCAACCTGCGTCACTACAACTCCATGGGCCCGCGAGAGAGAGCAGGCGTTACTTCCGATTAGAAAAGTGAGAAAAAACAAAGTCATTGTGCTCATTGTGGAAAAGGCAGGCGGCACGGTGGCCTTACCAAATGTAAGTAAATGTGTGACTTCATTTTTCCTTTGTCTTTCTCAGGTACAGATGATGGTTCCATTGATGCCTGTAAAGGGGACTCTGGAGGCCCCTTAGTCTGTATGGATGCCAACAACGTGACTTATGTTTGGGGTGTTGTGAGCTGGGGTGAAAACTGTGGAAGACCAGAGTTCCCAGGCGTTTACACCAAAGTGGCCCATTATTTTGACTGGATTAGCTATCATGTGGGACGGTCTCTTATTTCTCAACACAATGTATAAAACTGTGACCTCTCTCTTCATCCTTCTCTTTTTCTCTCAGTAGTTCCATTTTAATTGAAATGATACTGCATAATGTGGACTTCTCTAGAAAAAAAATAAAGCAAATTTTATTGGATATTTTTAAAGGTCTCTATGCCATATTGGAATTTTGCTGTATAATTCTCAAGTAAATGCTTTAGGCAACCACACATGTTTTATTTCTTAAAAATGTGATCAGGTTATCTCTGCATAGAAGAGTGATATATTGACAGTATTAAAGATGTAGCTAGTTGAGTGGCACAAGTGTCACATAAGCCTACTTTCAAACCCTAATTCTACCACCTACTAATTACTTGAAGCTGGGCAAAATACTATCTACTTTGTGTCTCATTTTCCATGTTTAAAATGATAACTGGAATTTTGAGAAAATAAAACTTCATATTGAAAGAGAATATTTGACATAGTACCTGTCACAGGGAAGTAACTGACCTCACAGTCTTTGTCCCATTTCTCTTTTTAAGAATTAAAAGTTCTTAAATAATTTGTTTCTAGTTCCTGATTTCACAAGTTCTCCTTGACCCTTTCTTTAAAGCTCGCCATTGACACATAACACTGCCGCTGAGCTCCTCAGTGTCTAAGCTCACAGGCAACCCCCCAGGGCACCTGGCCTGCTGCCTGCCTGGCTGCTGGTCTCAGCCTCCTCTCCAGCCTCTTTTTCCGCACTTCCCCTGGCGACTTCCTCTAGACTCAGCTTTAAATCCCACCCACAGTCCAGTGATTCTCAAATCCATTATCTCCAACTGCGACCTTTCCTAGATCTACGGACTTACCATCACCTGTTTCATAGCATTCCAAAAGAAACATGGCCACCCCAGATCTCTGTGCCTTCTTAAACCTGTTCCTCCCTCTTCGGTAAATGGTACCAACATCGTCTCAGGGCTCCCCTGTGGAGCCAATGTAGAGTAGGCGCCCAGTTTCTCTCTATCACATGACCCTGTTTTAATCTTACCATAGCACTTGTCATCACTTGTTTTTATCTTTGCCTACCTCTTCCCAGTACACAGTAAGACGTGTGAGAAGAGACACTGTGTTCTCTGCATTCCTTCTGTCTGCATCCCTATCACTTGATTCATAGAAGTGAATAAGCATTAGCTGCTTTTATTATTATTTATTGATTTTAAGAGAAAGACACAAGAGGGGGGAGAGAGAGAGAGAAACATCCATTTGTTGTTCTACTTGTTTATGCATTCATTGGTTGATTCTTGCATGTGCCCTGCCTGGGGATTGAACCCACAACCTTGAGATATGGGGACAACACTCTAACCAACTGAGCTATGAGGCCAGGGCTGCTATTATTTTTTTAAAGCACAGCTATCATTATCCTGAAGACAGAGGTATATATTTTTTGTAACTATTACTCACCACTCCTGGGGTCCGGTCCTGGATAGAGCCCAGTTGTTTTGATAACAGAAGTGCTCATATCTACATATATTCCAGAATCAGTTACTGTCCAATTTTTTTCTTTTTAAAAATTTTGATAAAATATACATAAAATTTGTATTATTTTAACCATTTTGAAGTATACAGTCAGTGACAGTAAGTACATCCACATTGTGGTGTACCCTTCACCTGCAGAAATTTTTTATTTTCCCAAAATGGAACTCTGTCCCCATAAACAGTAACTCCTCGCTTTCCATGCTGCCCTGATTTTTAATTCCTTTTGTCATTGAATGCAGGAGAGTATCTGGTTATCTACGGCCATGTAAGAAAGAACCCTAAAATAGTCTTTGAAATAACAATCGTTTATCATTTTGCTCTTATATCTGGGGATTGCCTGGGCACAGCTGGACAGTTCTTCCATCCTCTCATGCAGTGGCTGTCAGACAGGGCTGGGGCAAGGGTCATCTCTAAGGCTTCCACATTCATATGTCTGGTTGCCTGGGCTGGGAGGACTCAGCTGGGGCATTTCAGACCTCTTCCTCTACATGGAGTCTTCACATGGGCTCTCAACATAGTTACTCGGAGCCGCCGGACTTCTCACATAGCACCTGACAAACATCTCAGGAGGACCTACAGAACCTGCACAGCCTTTCTAAACCCAGACCCAGAAGTCATTTAGCTTTCCATCACAAAGATGTGACCAGGTTCAGGGGGAGGAAATGTAATTCATCTCTTTATGGGAGGGGTATCAAAGAATCTGTGGCATGTTTTAAAACCACCGCCTTGTCTTGACCCAGCAAACCTGGGACATATGACATCTTAGAAAATATCTGTGTATGAGACAAAAAGACAGAGGTACTAAGAGCTGCAAGCTGGGAAACCCAGCATATGGGGCACCCTCAGCTGATCAAGGAAGGAGGGTCATTGTGGCACCCTGAAGGACCAAGCCAGTCTGCACAGTGACCTGGGACCTGGAGTCTTAGCAGCAGGGTGGACCAGGTGGAGGTCTGACGCAAGTTAGCTTTTCTGTAGTGACTCCATGCGGCAGACTAGGAGCAGCAGCAGTGGATGACCTGGTTGTAGGGCTCTTCCAGTTTAGAGGTCTCTGTGAGGGCTCCTAGTTGCAGAGAAACAGAAGCTAATCTCATTGGTTTCATGAAAAACTTGGTTTATTTACAGATATTATGGAGTTCACAGAATCTTCAGGAAAGCCAAAGACTTAAAGGAAGTTCACCTGGGAATAATGCTCAGACTGCTGTAGGAATGCTTATCAGAAACTCCCACTGCCACTAGCTTGGTCCCAGGTGCCAGGTTCAGAGGGTACTGCAGAGGCTGGGCACTGGACACTGCTGCTTGGCCCTCGGCCACTGCTGCTTCTGTGAGTTAGCATGGGGTTCCATGATGGTGGTCAATGGACGGAGCTCACTAAATGTGGAGATCTGCCATCATTTTATACTTTTAATCCTGGCCTCAGAGATTACCATCTTATGAGAGAGACAAAAAAAGAGATTATGCACCTGTATTTTGTCAAGTATAATGGTAAGAAAAACTCAAAGGAGACTCACAAATCAGCCTGAAGTGTCAAAGGCTTCCCCATAGGTGAGCTTAATCTGACTTATGGAAGAACTCTCCAGGCAGATGCAAATGCAAAGGCCCTGTGGCTTAAGGAGCCCATCGCACAAGAAAATGGAAAGCAGTTCAGTGAAACTGGAGCCCAGGGTGTAGCTGAGGTGCAGGGGAGGGAGAAAAAAACATCATCAGGGAGAGCATCCTGCCCAAGAGCTGGCACCACTGAAGGCCTTTGGAAAGTTCACACTGGAGGCATGGAGGAAGATGGACAGCAGGAGAGTTAAATGGGGTAAGGAAGAGAGTCAAGAGACTATTGGACTAATCCAATAGAAAATGATGAAGGTAGAAGCTGAAGCAGATATGTTTATTTTTTTAATTATATTTTATTGGGTATGCTATTACAGTCATCCCAATTTTTCTCCTTTTGTGCCCCTCCATCCAGCACCACCCACTCATTCAGGCCATGCCCACACCATTGTTCATGTCCATGGGTCATACGTGTAAGTTCTTTTTCTACTCCATTTCCTGTACTATACATCCCCATGGCTATTATATAACTACCAATTTATACTTCTTAATCCACTCACCTCTTCACCCATTCCCCCACATCCCCTCCCATCTGGCAAACATTTTCTTAACTTAAGTCCCTTTAACATTTTATATAATAATGGTTTGGTGATGATGAACTCCTTTATTTTCTTGTCTGGGAAGCTCTTTATCTGCCTTTTGATACTAAATGATAACTTTGCTGGGTACAGCAGTTTTGGCTGTAGGTCCCTGCTTTTCATGACTTTAAATATTTCATGCCAATCCCTTCTACCCTGCAAAGTTTCTTTTGAGAAATCAGCTGACAGTCTTATGGGAACTCCCCTGTAGGTGACTAATTGCTTTTCTCTTGCTGCCTTTAAGAGCCTCTCTGTTTTTAACCTTTGGCATTTTTAATTATGATGTGCCTTGGTGTGGGCCTCTTTGCATCCATCTTGTTTGGGACTCTCTGTGCTTCCTGGACTTGCATGTCTATTTCCTTCACCATGTTAGGGAAGTTTTCTGTCATTACTTTTTCAAATGAATTTCTGATTCCTTGCTCTTTCTCTTCTCCTGGCACCCCTATGATGAGAATGTTGGAATGTTTGAAGTTGTCTCAGAGGCTGCTTATGCTATCCTCATTTTTTTTTTATTCTTTTTCTTCTTATTCTGATTGTTTTTTCTTTGCTTCCTTATGTTCCAGATCATTGATTTGATTCTAGGCTTCATCCACTCTACTGTTGTTTCCCCTGTAAATAGTTATTTCAATTAGTTCTTTCTTTCATTTTTGACTGGATATTTTTTCTGTTATTGAGTTCCTCACTAAGCTCCTTGAGCATCCTTATTACCAGTGTTTTGAATTCTGCATCTGATAGTTTACTTATCACTGTTCTGTTTAGTTCTTTTTCTGGAGTTTTGATCTGTTCTTTCATTTGGGCCATGTTTCCTTGTCTCTTCATTTTGGCAGCCTCCCTGTGTTTGTTTCCATGTGTTAGGTAGAGCTACTATGGTTCCCTGACTTGGTAGCATGACCCAATGTAGTTAGTGGGTGTCCTACAGTGTTCAGTGGCACAGCCTCCCCTATTACCCAAGCTGGGTACTTGAGGTGCACCCTTTGTGTGGGCTGAGTACACCCTCCTCTTGTAGTTGAGCCTTGATGGCTGTTGGCAGGTCAAGGGGAGAGATTTGCCCAGGCCAGTCAGCTGAAAGGACTGGTTGTGACCTCTGACCACCAACCTCCACCTTCCATGGAGTATCTGTACGCAGGGGTAGGATGGTGGTGCTCCAACATGGTCTGTAGCTGTCCACTGGGTACACAGGCTCTGGGATTTCCTGGGTGGTGCAGACCAAGGTCCTTCCCCATCTGTGTTCTGCCCAAGGCATCCCTACATGAGCTATAAAGCAATCTGAGAAGACTGCTACCTGTGCTGGGCTTGGCGGTTCCCAAGAGAAGCCAAGCTGTGAACCTAGGCTGGCTGCTGCTTGGCAAGTGGTTGGTGGCTGAGGACTCACTGAGGCCACCTAATGCTTGTTTGGGAAGATTTAGGAATTTGTGGAACATGAGCCAAGACCAGCCATTCATATGGAAAAGCCATTGTTAAC